TGTCTACAGTTGGTCAGTTAAGGGTCTTTTAAACATTTTCATGTTGGTAAACTTCATACACAAAGTAAACTTCATATGTAAAATTTTATATATAAAAGATAAATGTGACTATCACTGATATGCAGTTTTTTTCTTGCTGTACTTAAACTGACAGTCTGTTAAGGCTTCAGAGTATTCACTGGGTATAAACAATAACTTTAAAAGACTAGTGGAAAATATGGTGGAAGCTATATTAACCTCCAATAGAATTAGAACTGGCTCTTTTACAAGCAAACAAATTACATAAATTCAACTGCCTTTTTCACTGCAGTTTGGTAGAGAAAGAAGAAGGAGATAGATGTGAGGTCTCACTCTATGTTTTACACTGTAAAGCCATTTTTGCAGGAAGTATATATTTAATTTGATGCATTTACTTTTTTTTTTTAAGGGGCCTTTTTATCATTGATCCTAATGGCATCATCAAGCATTTAAGTGTCAATGATCTCCCAGTGGGTCGCAGTGTAGAAGAAACACTTCGGTTGGTGAAAGCTTTCCAGTATGTAGAAACACATGGAGAAGTCTGCCCAGCAAACTGGATTCCAGATTCCCCAACGGTATGTTATTAAAGCTAGTATGTAAAACATAATGCCAGGAAGGCCCTTGTTTCAATTATAGAAAATCTTTTACATACATACATACATACATAGGTCTTTGGTTATTCAGGTTTTCTCCTGCGTAAAATTGGAAGTGTCTTGGCGACGTTTCGACGAAGTCCCATTCGTCATCTTCAGGCTGATGTTTTCAGCTTCGTGCTTTGAGGAGCACGAAGCTGAAAACACCAGCCTGAAGATGACGAATGGGACTTTGTCAAAACGTCGCCAAGACACTTTCAATTTTACGTGGGAGAAAACCCGAATAACCAAAGACCTACATACAAACACCCGCGAAAACCTCAGAAAACACACACACACACACACACACACACACACACCACACACACACCACACATATATATATATATATATATATATATATATATATATATATGAGAGAGAGAGAGAGAGAGAGAGAGAGAGAGAGAGAGAGAGAGAGAGAGAGAGAGAGAGAGAGAGTTATTTCATGCCCTACTAGTGTATACCAGGTTCTTTAGACCTGCTCTCTTTCTTATGATTGGATGCCAGTATGAGAGAAGATATTACCTATACATGAAGTCTTCACCACACAACAGCAATTGTAACTGCAGTTTCCATTGCTAAATGGTGTGGTCCTAAAGTGTGATGCTATATGACATGGTGCTTAGCAATGGAAGTTGTGGCTGCTTTGGTTAAGCAAAGATATAGTATGGTTGCCATTTGCAACATTCTGTCGTTGACTTTGCTTGTAGAAAGGTGGCAAGGAAAGTTGCAAATGGCAATCACAGGGCCATGGGATGCTGTGATACCATAATTGAGGGCCATAATTGTATGCAGACCGCAATCAAATGACCAGAGGAGACACTGCGATGGCTATAGGTCCCAAAGAACTGGTTGTAAGTATTATTGAAAATTTGAAAAGTTGATGAATGAGTTGGAAGTAGCTATGCTTTCAAGTTCCCTATTATCTTATAAGAGATAATAAAGGAATGTTTGATATTTATGTGCATAGGGACTCTATACGGCATTTAATTAATTGCCTTGATTGAATGTATAATTCAATACTTAACTTTTAACTCTTTTTGTTTTGCAGATTAAGCCAAACCCAGAAGATTCAAAAGAATATTTTGCAAAAGTAAATAAATAGAATGGTGAGCAGTATGGGATTAATGATTGAATCTATTTCCTGAAGAATCAAACATTCTGTGAGACTAGCCATGATAACAATAAAAAACACAGAATATTTTCTACTTTGCTATGATGAATATGTAAAAGTTCACAGGGCTTTGGCCTTCCTCCATAGATGAATTAATTTAATCCCAAATTAGTTTAAATAGCACATATTTTCTACACAAAATACTAGAACATAATTCTCATTTAAAAAGCATTCATTGCTTGAAGTAAAAATACCTGCATTTTACATTAGGAAAAATAGTGATGCTCTTTAGTTTGTAGTATATGCAGATTTCCTATCTTCATAAACTTAATGAAACTGTAACCCAAGTCACAGACATTCAGTAAATTAGTTGCATATATAGCATGAATCTTCATGCCTTATTTTTATGAATCTTCATGTCTTATTTTTATGAATCTTCATGCCTTATTTTTCACTCCCTTGACCAACCAACCAACACAGGATGTCTGTTTGGGAATTATCTTTGTGATCTAATAATGAAACAATCATGATTATTCAGCATAATAGGCTATTAAATATTTTAGAATACTGAAATGAAAAAAAATAAAAAATTAGGAAGAGTAAATGAAAAATGTATGCTTTTATTTTATAAATAAATGCAAGATGAAGCTGTGAACCAAAGTCTGTTAATACCAACACTAAACCTTCTCATGTTTTGGAAATGTTGCCATGGATATTTAGTAATATTTTGGCTATAGATTTTCAAGACTATAATGATGAAATATTAATTATAGAGGATTTATTATTGTGAAAATTGAACTTCTTTTTGAACAAGATTTTTCACATCACAATTAAATGCATAACTATGAATTGAAAGCAAAAAGAAAACTTTGCATTTTACTATAATTACACGTCGTCTCATTTATCCCACCAATATATTTTCAATTTGCCTTCCCCTGCCTCAGTACTATGCTCTCTGTACTATCAGGATATTCTTAGTAATCATTTGTGGGAATGCATTGAAGCACTATTTGTATGAATAAGTGTTTCACCATTGGTCTTTTATAGAATAGCTGACACGCTTTATGCAAGCAGCAGTTCAAGAAGAGGCTGTCGCAGTCACAATAATGAAGCTAGCTACATCAATATCAGTGCCATCTCAAAATACTTGTTTCTGATCATTGGAACTTCTATGCAATCTTCTACAACTCAGTAGTCTATAATTATCCCAGGTTCGTTTAGTTGCATTTATTTGACTGAAATTTCATCTGTCCTTTGGGAGATCAGAGAAAAGTTTTAGCAAGTATCTCCTATTTTATTCCCACCCCAACAACCCTGTGAAAATTAAGGAGAAATTTTCTGACAGAACAATTAATCAGTGGAATGACTTGGCTCCAAAAGTTGTGGATGCTCTTCTTTTTAAGAAGAGATTGGACAGCCATTTGTCTGAAATGGTAAGAGGGTTTCCTGCTTGAGCAGGTGTTTGGACTAAAAGACCTCCAAGGTGTCTTCCAACTGTGTTATTCTGTTCTCCTATTTGTTAAACAGGTTGATACCTTGACCATTCTTATTCAATGAGCTCTGTGATCCGGTTGAGATTTAAATTGGGGTTTCTCTGGTATTTTGAATTAAAAGCTTATTGTATCTTTTTTCTATAAAGGGAGATAGCATGATGGTATGACTAGCCACAAAGCCCTGTTGTATAAGAAAACAAACTGGTAATCTTCTAGCATCCCAGAATGCTTTCCGCCATCTCATCTTTTTAGGTCTAAGTATCCGAACACAGCAGTCGATTCCTTTTTTTCCTAAGAAAATGAGGATTTGACTAGTTCTGGAATTTAAAAAGATTCTTGGAATATTTCCCCTTCCTTTTTTTTTCAAGATTAAAATATTTTTTTTAAACAAGGGTATGAAATCTGGTAGGCACTAATGGAAAGGTCTATGGCACAGGTGTCAAACCTGATTGCGTCACGTATCGTGACACTTTTTGCCTTTGCGGAGCAGGGGTGGGCGTGGCCCGCACGTGACCCATCCAACTCATGGGCCGTCAGTTTGACACCCCTGGTCTATGGTTATGTGTGTATGGGGGGGGGAATCATGTTGGGAAACCAGACACATTTTTTTCTGGATAATTAATAGCCTGATGAGGGCCAAATTATAACCCTTTTGAGCACATGGATACCTTAAAAGAGGAATAGATAAAATTGTATATATGGTCACATGTTTCTGCATTCATCAGTTGGGGCAGTGCTTATGTGCATAATAATCCTTGGCTGAGTTACTTGGCTATACTCAGTGCTACACAAGAAAGAATTTGCTTGGAAAGACTATATACAGTATACCTATTCAGTATATAGGTTTACTATTATTTATTATTCATTGACTTGATGTAATCTATTTCTGAATACAGTAACTGTGAAGCTGCATAAGCAATTTCCTGTCATTGAATATCCTGGACCCGGAGCAAGAACTGACATTTCTGATTCTGAAAGATGACATTCTCCAGAATGTAGGAGGGCTTTTTTTTTTTTTTTGCATATTTTTGGTAACAGGATCAGCATTATATTCCCATCAGTACATACTAGATATATAAAATAGAACATAAGTGAGTCTGGATGATTTGGCAGCAAATATATATATATATTGCGTCTCGGCTGGGATGGTATAATAGTCCTCTGGCTAGACTCTGGAAATCCAGCCCTTTGTTCTAATTCAGTGTACTGCTGGACTGACGCAAGTTGGTTAACCATCTCATGGTTAGCGCGATGCAAACGTGCTGCACGATCCGTGTTATGAGCCAGTAAGGGCGCAGCTTGATACGAGCCAGAAACGTTCTCTTCGCATCGCACACGATCATCACGGCATGCGAGATTCACGCAGCGCGTGCATTATGAAATCAATTGCCGATTCCCTAAGTTATGCGAACCCGGGCTAAAACTTCCAATCCGTTCATTGACTGACCAATTGCAGTTTGATTTGATCGCGGGTTGATTTTAAAAACTAAATGCAAGAGTAACAATGCATTTGGGGTGTTCCTATATTTATTCCTAAGCCTCGAAGCTAGGGAGGACAGTCACCCCTCTCCTCCCATCTTGTGACTCCGCACCTCCCTTCCCCCTTTTCTGGAATGCGGGAAACGGGGAGAACCATTCCACAGGGATTCGAGTTTTTCGTGTAAAAAAAACGGGAGCGTTTGAAGATCGAATCGGCGTCCAAGGAACAAACGAGCAGCGGTGAGCATGAATGACGTCAAAGACGAGGGGATGAACCCGCATCGCGAAAAGATCTCCACGGGTGGGTTGACTTTGCCGACGTTTTCCGGAACAGCCGCTTTCCGGCGCGCGGCCATCCGAGCGTGATGGATTTGAATTTGCAGTTTTGGAAAAACGAGGGTCAAGTATGATTAACTGTAAAGCGTGACTCCGCGGGCGGGAAGGGGCGGGAATGAACGTTCTAGTGCCGCCTGGAAGTTAAAAGATGAACGGGGCGGGCATTGTGGGGAAGCGAGGCTTTGCTCTCGGCTGGCGTGGGGAAAGGGGTTCGACCTAGAAAGGGCGATCGTAGGACTAAATGGCTGGCCGAGGGAACTTCGCCCTCGCCTGCAGCCATTCTGCTTAGGAAATGTGGAGATTGAGATAGAGGAAAAACTGGCGTGGAAGGAGTTATTTCTTCGATTCGGCAAAATACATAGTAACACAAGCAAACGTTATAAAACTAGGAAGCAAAAGCCGCACAGCAATATTATGACATTCCCATTCCCGAATGCTCAGCAATTACTAAGTCCAGTGTGATAAAAGTCTAGTGTAATAAACGAGACCTTATTCAAAGTTGCTAGATATATTCCTAAAGTCTATTCAAAAATAAACCTTATTGATTTCAATAGGGCTTGCATGCTTTTTAATGAGTATAGCATCATACCCTGCATACCTAGTCATTATCAGGATTAAATGGGATTCATATGACTACAACCACAAAGCCTTTCCATTGTCCCATCTCTTGAATGGACATAATTTTATGACTCTAAAGAAAAGGGATGCACTTTGATGGTATCCAAAAATTAGGTTCTGAAAACCATACAGTATTTTAACCTGCTTTGCAGAGTTCTTGGCCTCTGCTGCAAATAATACTTGGAAGCAGAAGGAATGGGGATGGTTTCTGGATCTGTTTGCTCTTACCTGAAAACTATACAGCAAGCATTAAGGATGAGAAAACAAAACAAATGTCCCTTTTGGTTGTCCTATACTAGGAATCCTGAAATGTATTCAGAGAAAGAAATGGAGGCAGAATGCCCTCAACCCTGTGAGGTAATTGTATTCTAAGCTCCAGGTTACCCTCTGGATAACAGTCCAACATTTGGGGGGTCACTTCTTGCCCAGTTGAATTTCAATAAGTCTAGTAGAACTATAGAACATGTGTGGCTTAACAGAAATGACTTTTATATGAAGTTGTTTTTGCAAGTTACACTATCATAAGAGTTGATAAGCTTAATGCTTCCATTAAAAACAACCCATTTCCCCATACTTGCAAAACAGGTGAGAGTGAAAGAATATTTTAGCCCCATCTTTCCTCACATATCAACCCCTTGTATCAAAATGCACCCCTCCTCTAGTTGATTTTTCTTGTCAAAAGGACGTGATTCTTTATTTGAGTTATTGAGTTTCCCTGAATCACATGCCAAAAAGATCAAGCGTGAAGTTTCAAAGGACTGTGGGGTATGCTTTTCATGGGTGACTTGACTATGCTGGGTGTCTTGTTTACTCAAAAAAAAAATCACAGGTTCAGTGTAATGGAGAGCAACTTTGGCTTTGAAGTGTGGATAAAACTACTGGGTTTATGTTATTGGGCAATTTTGACTAATTTTAGCATCACTGCAAAAATATATTCAAGCTCAGGTATCTTTTAAATTATTTCTTTAGACTTTTTCCAAAAGACTGAAGCACTGGATAGACATTTTGGACCCCTTGGTCATATTTACACGTGAGGTAAGAACCTATGTATTTAAGCTGTGGATGCTGAAACTTGAAAGCAAGCTAGAAAGCATTTCTGTGGGCACATTCATATGACTTACTAAAAATTTACAGGTAGTCTCTTGTTTACTGATTGCCTTGTTTAGCAACCATTTGAAATTGTGCTAAAAAAGAGTCCTTTGAATTGAGATGGCTGGTTATAGAAATTGAATGATCAGTCTTTGCATTTACGACCATCACAGCATCTCACAGTTACATGATCACCATTAGTGTGTTTCACAACTGACTTAAGAATAGCAAGTTAATGGTAACTGAAGAAGTAAAATGTACATTGCAGTCACATGATGTTTCCAACCAAAGAATAACAAGAGTTGGGAGGGACCTTGGAGGTCTTCTAGTCCAACCCCCTGCTCAGACAGGAAACCCTATAGACATACCCAATTCCAGCAACCATTCTTTATACGTTTCAGCCTCCAGTCCCTAATCATCTTGGTTGCTCTTCTCTGCACACTAAACTGAGGATTATCTATAGATGCTGCATCAGCTTCAGCCTCCTTGTCTTCTTGGCTATTTTAAAGTAGCTAACTGAGCAATATTACCTTGTCTGTTTGCTTTTTTTTCTCTCCAAACTCAAATCAAGGCAATTAATATTCTGTTCAGCATCAGAGCTACTATATAAAGCATGTGGGGAAATGAATGTTTTTCTAACCCCCCCCCCTTTTTTTTAAAAAAAAAATCCTTGCATGCCTAGGTTAAATAGAAGAATAAATTTTGGAAATGAAGTAGTGGAAATATAGCTGCTGAGACAATTCCTAGCCATTCCTGCAACTTGTTTCATTTTCCTGGAACAACAAGAGCCATGAACTAAACATCAGTTTGAGACAGGATATCATGCTAAACCAAAGCTAGATCAAATAAGTGCAAGCCACAGTTTCAGGCTGCATCATTAAGACAACATGAATAATGCGTAACATTTTCTTGATTCAGACAACATACAAAATACAACCATCAGGACCATGCAAATGGAAGAATAAAATCAGGCAGCTTGCAAAGAAATGATCGTTGATATAATATGCTTGTTATTTTTCCACAAGCTTTCAGTCACAGTAGCATTATTTTAAAGAAAAAAAAACATTAATTTCAAAGTGTTATGATGTGTAATAATAAATATTTGAAAGAAAGAATTAACCCATGTGTGTTGGCCTGGGATACACATACAGTAGAGCGAACCACTGCATTGCACCAAATTCAGGCTGTCACCAAAAAGAGCAATTCTGTTGCTTTTAGCTTTCAAGCTCTTTGCACTTCCTTATTGGTCAAAAGATACAGGTACTTCAGCTTTTTCTATTACCCCCAATGGGAAAGAAATAGTGCTGTTCCATTGATGGTCAGTGAATATATTTAAGGAAGATTGAAACAGGTTCCCTGCATGAATACATAAATGGTTTGGGACCGGAATGAATATGCTATGGTAGATTACTGGTCTGGATTCCTCACGTCCTTCCTCCCCTTGAAAAGTCTTGCAGATCGGATTGGAGCAACAGGTCTGGGAGAGAGACAAGTCTTCCCCTGATGCTTTCTTCTGGATCAATTTGCGCCCTAAAAGTTGCTCTGAGTGTGTCCCTCACCCTCCACTTACCTATAAGAGTGGGGTAGAGAAAAGCCAGGCACAATACTGGTTGATTGTATTTTGTGTCACAAAACACTCAGTGGAAAAAAACGATAACATCACAAGAAAAGAAATGCTTATTTATAGGAAAAAAACCCCAGTTTATTTCCACATTTCTTGTAAATACAGGCGGACATTAATGCATCGAGAGATCTTTTACTGAATAGTGGAGAAGATGTAACATCTTTACAAAATAAAAAGGTACAGTGATGTTGTGAATGTGCTTGTACATTACATTCTAGTGTGCAAAAATGATTAGGTTTCTCGTTGCTGTGCCCTGATATCTAAGCTGAGACTCGAGGCACGAAGAGAGGAACTGAATTTGTAACTGTCTTCATTTTGATCCCAGCTCTCCTCAAGTGAGGCTAAGCCACCGGCATGTGATACTGTCTGTAAAGTAGTCGTGCATTGATGCTGCTGAACACATTTCTAGTGTGACTCCAGTAATTACCTCTGTCCTGTGATATCCACACTTTGAATATAGTGATCTGTAAAGAAGCCTATTAATGTGAGCAGTTTTTGTATGTACTGTATATGCAGTCTCTTGAAGTGTGGACAATGGGGTCACACTATTGCAACAGAACTAATATAGGTAGAATTTCTACTGTATCTTCTATAGCAATGGTCTCCAAACTTTTTGGCACTAGGGACTGATTTCATTGAAGACAATTTTTTCAGATGGGGAGAAGGAAGGGGAGAGTTTGTGTGCTATATAGATCCTGCGTATACACAGATGAAGCTTTGCTTTCTTGCACGGCCTTGTTCCTAACAGGTCACGGAATGGTACTGGTCCATGGCCCTCGTGTTGAGGACCCCTGTTCTGTGGAGCCTGTTCTTTTTCTCATCATACAAGTCCATGAATAAATATATCCTAATGTATAAAGATCAAAATAGATGTTGCAAACAAAACAAGTATGTAAAGTTTGGGGGAACCATAAATATTGACGGAACAACAAAGTCATCTTGTAGGGGAGATGGTGGCATAAAAAATATAAATAAATAAATAAAAAGCTTTTGTTTGTTAGTTTTAAAAGAATGCCATAAAAGAGAGTGACTGTAATCACACATCACAGCAAGTCACAGTGCTGGCTAATGTACGCTTATTTATTCCTAGTAATATAAGTGGATCATCAAATCTTCAAATATTTTCTTTAGATTGTGTTGCATATGGAATCCTGGTTTGGTCAGACAATATTTTATAGCTTGCTCTTAGTTTATAAGAATCTTAGGTTTAAACCACAAGAAATTTACCTAAGCATACTAACAAGTGAAATGAACGAACTGTGAGTATCAGCCCAGGATTCATTCTTGACAAGCCAATTTTAATTAGTTCTGAACTTATATACATATCTTTTTACTTCTATATCTGTATTTCATTAACCTATGATTTAAATGTCACAATTCCTTTATTTGAGATGAAATACAACTTAAATGAAGCTATCAGATTTTTTAAAAAGTGATTTAGGATATCGGTTATGATAATAGCAAATTATGTGAAAAAGCATTATTGATGAACAAACCCCCCAAAAAACATTTTAAATAATCCATCAATGGTTCTTGAAAAGCTAAGCCATTCCATAATACATATTCAGCTATAAAATGGTTTCTGACCTATTTCTAAAATACTGCTTTCCAATGTTTTAGGTCAGAGATGCCTGGAAAATAAGTCTGGTGAGTTTTCCTATTATATTTAAGAATTTTTTAACGTGTTCTTTTCATCTTTTAGTAGAGATGTTCTAATCAATTTTATATGTATTTTTCTTTCCTCAGCTCTGTGTGAATCCCAGCACTGGTGATAAAATTCCTTTCCTCTTTAGAGGAGGAGGTTAGTTTCAAATGTCATTTTATTTCAATTTGAACTCAGGTTTTTTCCAGTACTTGTTTGATAACCCACCTTCCATTAAGAAATTCAAGGCAACAGTATGCAAGCTCCTTCCTCCTATTTTATCCCTTAACGACCACCCTGTGCAGTGGGCTGGGATGAGGAAAGCGAGGGGTCCAGCAATAACTTTGGAGCTCTGTAATTGATGATGGATTTCAATCTAAGTCTTCCTATTTATAGTCCACACCTTAATCATTTCCCCACACTGTTATTAGTACTGATGAATAACATAACAGGAAGTAAAATTAATTTTGGTATACAGGTAGTCCTTGACTTATGACCACAATTGAGTCCCAAATTTATGTTGCTAAGTGAAACATTTGTTAAGTGAGTTTTGCTCCATTTTACGACCTTTCTTGCCACAGTTGTTAAGTGAATCATTTCAGTTGTTAAGTTAATAACATTGTTAAGTGAATCTGGCTTCCCCATTGACTTTGCTTGTCAGAAGGTCACAAAAGCTGATCACAAGACACACACACACACACAACTGTCATAAATACGGACCAATTGCCAAGCATCCGAATTTTGATCACATGATCAAGAGATGCTGCAACGGTCATGTGAAAAATGGTCATAAATCATGTAACTTTGAACAGTCACAAAATGAACTGTTGTCGGTCATTATTGCTGTTATTAATGTATATTATCCATAGCCTGCATCTATTTGTATTCCTGGAATGCATGTTAGAATATGATCTCAGTATTAATTTATAATTCGTTTTTAGTAGTGATTGTGATTTGATAAATATGTGAATATATTCTAACAGACACAGACAGGCATTATAAATCATGCTAAATTTTAATGTAGTTTGTTTAGTTTGGGCTTAGTATATTACATGCACTCGGCCATTGTAGTTGGTAACAGATTTTTTTCTTGTGTTGACTCTGGTGGTTATAGTTTATTTAGTATACTATAGTTGAACAAAGCATAATTTAACAAAATATTTAAAATAAATAACCATATAGATCTTCTTAAATGCTATATTCTTTATTATTATACATAAAATATAATTTAAAAAATAGCCCAATCCATGTTTTTTAAGGCTTCATTGTCAATTTTTAAATCTTTGAGCTTAGCAATATTTGTCTTATTAGGACTTGCTTCCAGCCTGTAGGAATGTGGAGAAAATTAATTGAAAATCCATTGCATTATTGAAGCAATTAATTCCTAGACAGTGGAGCACAATTTTCCCTTTATTTTAAATAACTGATAACCTCTAAAACTTCCATTGCTTATTCTGTACTAATAATTTCCTAAAGTAATGAAGTATAAAACTCCAAAAAGCCATAAGGCCTGTCATTCATGTTTTTGTGTACATAGTGCCTAATTTATAATTACTGTATATATTGACATTTTTATATTACTTATTTTTCTATCGCTCTCTTATATGCACCGTGCAATGAATTTGCTAACTGGACAGTTTTCTTTCTCTCTCTCTTTCAAAGGTTTTGTGTGTATTTCTGCTTCATTGGTGAGTAACAGTGAAAGTTTTCAGAATATATATATATATATATATATATATATATATATATATATATATATATATATATGAATAAAAATATAAATCTTGATAGAATTGTACTAATTGTTCCACTTTTTAATTGGACTCAGGTTAGTCACTATAATCTGCATGCAGTGTTTCAGTGCAGAGAGAACACATATTGCTGACAATTTCTGGAGAGCAAGCTGGCATATGTCCTTTCCTATCTATGCACCAGTATAGTCCAAATTGGCCACACAAAAGAGGGAGATACTGACAAAGTCTGAATCACCTTTGATTCACAGAATGCAACATTTCTTAAGGAAAGATCCATTTTCCTCCTAAGCAGCCCAGTGATGATCACATGGCACAAAACGATAGGTGGAAACAAGAAAACAGATGACTGGGAGAGACTCATGAAATCAACAAACATAAAATTTAGTGGAGGGACGATAAAATAAACTGCTTAGATGAAAAATTAAAAAAAAATGCCTGAGAGCTGAGAAAAGTAATTCATTCGATAGATTATTCAATACATTTTGGGAATGTATTTTAATGCATTTTCAGGTATCAATGTTGAATTGCTTTTTTCACTTCTGTAAATATTGAAGAATTTTTTTAAGGGAATCAAGGTCGGACACAAGCACATTTAGCCTCCAAGGACTCAGTAGACAGAAAACATTACAGGCCCATTGTGAATACACATGTTGACTTGCAGAGTGTACAGATCAGGGGTGTCAAACTGTTGGCCCGCGGGCTGGATGCGTCATGCCAAAACTGCGCTCACCCTATTGCTGGAAAAAAATGTTGCGACATGTCACAACACGTCACATGACATTGCAATTGTGATACCCCTGGTATAGATGAAGCAGCTTTTTAAATGTAGAAGTTGCTTTGCTTTTATGGTGCACAAACACAGTTTTATGAAGATTATTGTGATGTGCGAGTTGCCATAACCGTTGCTCAATTTATGTTATCCCAAAAAGCATGGAGACCAAAAGATTGTTTGAATGCTTTTAAAGACTGGTTAAATAATATATCTGGCAGAGTAAAATGGTGTTAGGAATAGAACACATGATATGTTCAGACTACTCATTGATTCCAGATGCTTGACTGGAAATGAAGTGACTTGGGAGCAGTTATCTCACATGGGATCCGTGGTGCCAGTAGCAAATTTAGATTTGGGCCTGAAAAAAACTGGATGTTTGCTTTTGAAACTACATGACGGTACTATAGCAAATTATAAAATGACCTGCTAGTGCAGGTATATATATCTTTGCAATATTGTCCAGATGTGTTTCCCATATAAATTTCTATTTACAGGCTGCAATTGCTTCCTTACCATACAGAACATTTTTGACATCGTTTTCCCAGCAGGTACTGGCTAAGCTATTCATTTTGTATTAATTGGTTTAGATTAATTTGTTAACTCATATTGACATTGTGCATTTGTAATTTCAAATTTTGCAGTTTCTTTTCCATGCGTATATTGGTGGATTCAGTTTGGCAAACAGGAATTCTGTGAAAAGATCATTGGAGAATGGTGAGAAAAATGTAAGTATATGTGGCAGATTGCAACAATCTTTTTTGCAGTGTAGTGAATAGGTGTGTTTTCATGGTGTCACATTTTTTGCTTACAGGAACTTTCATGGAAACAGGCACTTCTCTCTATTGGGAGCATCCCAGGTTTGGCCTTAATAGGAGTATGTATTGTCAATTTCTATCTGGTTTTTGTTTTCTAATTATGCTTTTCTTTCAAGGAAGAGTAGCATATGGAGTGGCATGTATTCATGCATGGAACTGTTTGTTAATAACTGATTAATAGTAATGAAGAGCTGTGGTGGCACAGATAGAATACAGTATTGCAGGCTAATTCTGCTGTCTGCCAGCAGTTCGATCCTGACCGGATCAAGATTGACTCAGCCTTCCAAGGTCGGTAAAATGAGGACTCAGATTGTTTTGGGCAATATGCCGAATCTGTAAACTGCTTAGAGAGGGCTATAAAGCATTATGAAGGGTATATAAGTCTAATGTTATTGCTATTAATTTATACAAGGGATTGTTAGTGTAATCTAATGGTTTTCCAACATTGTTTTTAAATGAGAAGAAAATTTCTTTTTCAGCATCCTTACTTAAAACTGCCTCCAACCATATGTTCAAATTCAATGGGTAATGCCTAAATTTAACTTATCATGCCTATTCACTGAGATGTGACCTAAACTTAGTGCTCTTTATTTGTATGTTTGCTGTCTTCATAGTTTTCCATAGATTTTGTAGTGTCCCTGCTCTTCAGAGATTGATATATTTCCAATTTCTTATTCTAGACACGAGTCTTTCTTGCATAACTATTTATTTATATCATGTCTAGATTGATAAACAGCAAAGTGCCACAGAGAGCATGGACTAATTAAGGAGAAAGACAACCTGTAGAGTTTACTATTTTTTGTTTGGTTTCAGGATCTATAATTAAAATATCAAGGTTACACACAAACATACATACACACCAAGACCACGACCCATATCTGATCAGAATCCCTCTAGATTTTGATTTGATTTTCTTAAATTATTAACACAGGCAATCTATTTGTGACCTGAAATTGATTTCCCCCTTTCCCCCTCAGCCTCTATGGTAGGAGTCAGAAATCTACCACTCAGAAGCTGGATCTGGACCACCAACCAAAATCATTCAGCCCATTGTCCCAAAATAAATATATCCACCTGCCACAGTTCTAAAAAAGTTTGGAATTCTATCTCAGACTTGATGTAGAACTGTACTACTGTCTATTAACAAGTTGTAATGATTCGGATGGGTATTAATGAGCCCATGTATATATGTTTCTGGGTTACTTAGATCTTCCTCCTCTCTCCATAAGCATTTCTTTCCCCAGTCACAAGAGGTTTCCTGAGCTTCTGCTGAGCACACTCTTATATTCTCCTTTGAACATGGCTCAAATTCTTCTAAGAAGCAATTCTTTAAGGTTCACCCTGAACTTTAAGTGCCGGAATATTTATTCAAGAGAGGCTGTTTGCTCACAGACTTGATCTCTGGCTCCTGTGTGGAAGAAGGTTGCCAATCTCTGCTCTTGTGGCTAAAAGAGACCTGATGTCACTAAAAGGGGCAGTGGTCCTTTGACGCTGGTTTGGGAGATTGGGAGTTAAAGGACAGAAGAGGCACATTAAACTTAATAGAAGACTAATATCCTATTTTAGATCTTATTTTTAAGGGGGGGGGGAAATAAAAATGTGGATAGCTGAAAATTAGCGATTTTACATTGAAGCTCAATTTGGTGACATGGAAACTAAAAAAGTGGATATGGGCCTATTGGGGATAGACTTATTAACATTTAGTGGAAAAAAGCTTATAGTCAATCCCTCTTTTCCCATGAAATAAAGCTGAGTACAAAATAAAAATGTCATAGACAAAATCTCCCCTTCTCTCTCTCTCTCTCCCTCCCTCCCTCCCTCCCTCTCCCTCCCTCTCCCTCCCTCCCCCTCCCTCCCCCCCCTCTGAAACGGTTGTTTTCAGACTCTCCCTCACTATTTTATAGCGCGTAAGAAATCACTAAATACTCCAGGGCATTTCTTCAGCAAGTTCATGGCAAGTGCTTTTTTTGGTGAGTAAAAGTGTGACAGTTCTTTGAAACATTAATTACAGGTATTCTATGCTGTCAACAAGTTTGTATTATATAATTGTTGCTTTTCTATCAGGTATGAGCATTTTTTCAAATAACAGTTTCAAAATGTAGCCATGTTTTTTTAAAAATTGTCCTTGTTGAAAAAAAAACCCTATTTCAAATGTTGACAAACACTGCTGATGCTGGAAATCAACTATGCAGGTCCCATTTCAGTGTTTTATTATTGTTTGTTTAACAAGCCTCATGCTAGGAAAAAAAATCACATTTTTTTTATTCTGAATAGATGCTAAATACTGGGCATATTTCCTAGAGGAACATATGTTCCTTTAATACTCTGCAATAAATCCAGAGTTATCTTAATAATCTTTTTGTTAAATTTTGTACATGTTATTCCTAAATGTGACAACAGTAGGGTAAGATCAAATCACATGAAGTAATTTTCTAATTATGTGGGACAGACAGGGAGCAAGCTGACCACAAACTGCAAGAACACAAGCATTCAGACGAGGAGACTCGAACTCATTGGTAGCCTCACATTGCAATGAACAAGGACATACATTTCAATTTTGCAGCTACTAAGATTGTTGGCCATGCAGGTACAAAGATAGCCAGAGAAATGATTGAAGCTGGGAAATGGGCCCCTTGTCAGTCAACAGGAATGCTGATTTACCACCAGCTTATCAGGAGCCGAGGGCTTGACAGCACAAGGAGACAACAACTGATTTCCAGCCATCAACACACCAATCGGAAGGCACCACATAAATAGGACTCACAGAATAGCCCAAAGGACATATTTCAGTAGAGAGAAATTCCCTGAAGATGGGCTCCAGCTCCAGTCCTAAAGCTTGGAAGAGTAAACCTTTAGTCCCAGTGATCAACCCAGATTCGATCTTGTAAGATTCTGAGTCCTGAGATTCCTGGGTTTACTTCTAAAAGTTGATCCTTGGTTGATAAAAGGATAAAAGTAGTCTTTATTAATAAAGTGATTTTCAAGTGTTTCTGCAGCCTTTGAAGTATAAAAATCCTGTTAGTTGGTAAAATATAAGATAGTGATCCTAGTCCAACCTACTTTTATTATTAATTATGAGCCAAGTTTGTTTAGGCAGGGGCTTAACATATTTTATGGGAGTGCCCTCAATTGGCTACCCTACCCCAAAGATTGCTTTCTTTTATTCAAACTTCTTTGATTTCTTCTTGAAGTTCAATGACCATAAACTTAACAATTATGTAGAATTTCAAAGGCATTGCCTCCAATTTCTCATTCCTGTAGTTACCTTAAATACCTGGAATAAATTTAGCCCATTCTCCCAGAAATAATTTAAAAGTTACAGGTTGATCGCACATCCATTAGTTTCAAACTCAGAATTGTTTCAATTGCTAGGTGTTTTTTCTGATAAAAAGGGAATCTTTCATTTAATTCAGATTATAATGCAAGCTAATCAGAATTTCCAGTAGTTAGTATCTGTTTTTTCATACGTTATTGTACATAGCGTACATCATATTGCTTTCTCCAGGTCCTTGTGGGTGTATCCATAGATTTTTTTAAAAAACTGACTCAGAAAATTATGAAGAAAATTAGTACTAGAAAATTTTGCCAATTTGGCTGAAATTTCAGTATGAGCCAAGAAAACCCTGGAAACTAAACCTTCAGCAGTTTCCGCATAAGCTAACTGATTATCAAAATCATAATTTTTGGAAGACTCTCCAGCAATTGCAGCAGAATTTAAGCCCAACAGTGCATTTCTTTCTGTTTGTTTTTTTAATTTTACAATGTCTGCCAGAAGTCAAGTCACTCTTCTGCTTTGCTAATATAAATGTTATCACAAGAATTGAGAGTTAAGGCTAATAATTCTTGTTTATATTTTTTAATGAGCCTGATCTCTTCCCCTGTTCTCTGCAGGTGTTCTCTGTGCATTCAATGTGTTCATAGTCAGAAACTTTGAACGTGAGAATGGGATTAAGGTCATGCATAGCACGGGTGAAGTTATTGGAATGTCTAAGGTGGCGGGGAAAAAAGTAAGTGAAAGAACACAGATGTTTCCACTGGCTTGATTTTCCCCTTTCTATTCCATTTCAACTAAACCCTTTTATACTCAGTTAAATTAAATCATCATAGGGATATTAGTCATTTATAAATTAGAAGGAAAGCCTATCAAAAGCTACTATGACAGCTATGTGTTACCTCTATTAAAGGAGGTAATAGATGGTTTGAGCTACTGAAAATGGAAATGGAAAAATGTGATTCTGCTTGTGTCCTGATAGGCTCTTAGATTAGACAGACTTTTGACCTGATCCAGCATGGCTATTTTTTTGTTCTCAATTTTTGTATTTTGATAGTCAGTTACATTTAGTAGCACTCTCCCCATTACTTATTTACCAGAATTTCCTTATGAACATGCATTTGGTGTGTTTCCCCCCAAAAGTGGGAAATGTTTGGTTTGGCCCTTTGTTTTGTGGACTTCCCAGGCTCTATAATCATAATAAGAAAGGCTAATTGCTTTGATTGTAATTGTCTGTACTGTTAATTTGTTAACCAGAGTGATTTGGGAGATTGGATTGTCTTGTATTGTGATTTTTTTCATTTAATTCCAAAATCATTGTTTTCTTATACTATATGTTTGTGATACATAGCTCATCTAATAGAAACACATATTCTGGTAGCCCTCATTATGACAAAGATGGCCTCAGCAGCATTTTAGTGGATTTGAATTTAGAATAAAACTGGTTCTTTAAAATTAAAATGTGCAACTCCTAATTCACATTTGCTAAAACATTAAGTTTTATGATATATCTATTTTGATTTTCAATTCTATCAGTCACCCAGCTGGTAGAAATTGCCTATAATACTTAGCCCTGGCCACCCTCTGATACCACATTAATTGGATATGCTTGCTGTGTATTTTGAAGGGCAAAAACTTTAAAAATTGTGGCATCCAGATTCATAAAAGTGCAAGCTCTTACGAGACCTGAATATATTGTGATTCTAACTTTCTTTTTATATATATGTGTGTTTTTTTCCCTTCTGTACAGGCTGTAAGAGAAACAGCATTATCCCGAGGTATACTCTTTGGTGTGCCAATGATTATTTCTGAAACTGCTGTGTATCTCATAAATCGGTAAGATAAATAGGTTTCCTCAACCAAATAACCAAGAAAAAAGCAAATAGAATATTATATCCATTATCAATAATGAAATAATATAACAGGGGAACTATAATCCTTGTGTTAGCCCATCTTGAACATGGGCCAATTACTTCTTATTGAGATTTGGTCTAGCTGCTGATTCATCTAGCCTAGAAGAATTCAGGACCAAATAAGATCCTTTGAGGCTTACAGAATTTGAAGTACCCCCAAATTCTCAGGGAAAGTTTTCAGAAACTGTAGCTGTATTAAGATTGTGATCACACTTTGGATTGATGCAGGGAGAAGAGCTGTTAACATTAGCAATCCAGATAACTCTGATTGCCTATTGGCTACTAGGGGTAGAATTTCCATGCTGGCATTCTCCTAAATCATTTAAAAGATCACTTCTGTCAGTATCCATTAGCATTAGCATTAAAATCAACAGAGATGGTCCTCCAGCTCATCCTAGAATGGTCAGGTGTGAACCTTCTAATAGCCAGCATTAGCCTTCTTTTATGAAATTCTCTCCCAAGGAAAGTACAACTACCGTAGATTCATGCTGTCTTCATAAGTTAACTGAAGACATGCCTGACCATTTAGTCATTTGGAAGATCACAATATATCTCAGGGTCAAATTCCTTCTTAAGTTTCTTACTGTAGTTTCCTTTTTAAAATGAACATTATTTTAATTCCTATACTAATTTTCAAGGATGAGTGATTTTTTGAAGGTGATGTTTTATTATTACTTTCTTGTAATTTGCTGTAGGTCTCCAGAGAAAAGAGTGCTAAAAAAAATAAAGGGGACTTTCTCTTTCTGTACAAATGTTGTAGGGCTATAATTGGAACAATATATGATGAATTCAAAGAGACAAAGAATAATGTTCTTCTAAAATGCTTTATATGCGAGATGCTTTCAGGATGTCATAACTGGGCTCTGAATCTGGAAGGGTTTTTGCACTCTCCCTCCCTTCCCACCCAAAAAATCAAATTGTCAATATTTGGCAGCAGAGCATCAAAGGAAATATTAGGCTACAGTTTATTATTATTTTTTTTTTTAAAAAATACTCCACTCCCAAGGAGTTGAATTTTCCATGCCTTTCCTTTCAATTAGTACCACCATCCTCCCTATAGTGCTTGGCAGCCAAAATAACAAGAATAACTAAGCATAATTCTGGCTGCCAAAAGTTTCCTGGTATCCATCTAAGAGACCAGGCATCAATGGTTTTCTGGTTTGGGGGGAGCAGCTGAAAAACTTCCTTTTTGCACTGCTAAGTCAGTACAGGTAGTCCTTGACTTATGACCACAATTGAGCCTCAAATTTCTGTTGTTAAGTGAAACATTTATTAAATAAACTTTTGCCCACTTTACGACCTTCGTTGCCACAGTTGTTCAGTGGATCACTGCAGTTGATAAGTTAGTAATCTGGTTGTTAAGTGAATCTGGCTTCCCCATTGACTTTGCCTGTCGGAAGGTCGCAAAAGGGATCACATGATCTTGGGACACAGCGTGAACCAGCATCTGAATTTTGATCACATGACCATGGGGATGCTGCAAAGGTTGTAAGTATGAAAAATGATTATAAGTCACATTTTTCAGTGCCGTGGTAATTTAAATGGTTACTAAATGAACTGTGGTAACTCGAGGACTACCTGTAAATCCCAACGTCTTGAAGGTGTATCGGTGCCAGGCTGTGTAATAACTTGCCCTTGCAACTTTTTGCAGCAGAAGAGTTTTCCCACAAAGGTCAATGATCTTGAGAGGGTTTCTGGTATATTTTTTCTGTTGGTTAATACTGCCTGTTTCACTGAGTTGGATTCCACAGTTAAGAGAGGTAATCAGCATGTTTCATTTTCTTTTCAACTTTTGATAATTGTGTAGATCGAAGGGATAAATGGCAGTGTAAACAAGCAAAAAATATAAACCCCGATGAGTGAAAATCAGAAGTGGGCTGGGTTCTCTTAAGTGAAAGAGGGGCATTGGGTTTACTGGGAGATGCAAGCATAGAAACTCCCAGAAACTGTTAGGATTGGAATTGGGATACAGGTAGTCCTTGATTTACAGCCACAACTGAGCCCAACATTTCTGTTGCTAAGCGAGACATTCGTTAAGTGAGCTTTGCCCCTTTCTGGTACAGTTGGTAAGTGAATCCCTGCAGTTGTTAAGTTAGTAACATGGTTGTTAAGTGAATTTTGGCCCACTTTACGACCTATCTTGCCAGAGTTGGTAAGTGAATCCCTGCAGGTGTTAAATTAGTTAAGCGGTTGTTAAGTGAATCTGACTTTCCCATCGACTTTGCTTGTCAAAAAGTTACAAAGACTGATCACATGATCCCCGGACGCTGCAACCGTCATGAATATGAACAGTTGCCAAGCGGCTGAATTTTGATCATGTGAACATCAGGTTGCAGCAACGGTTGTGTGAAAAACAGTCATAAGTCCCTGTTTTCAGTGCCGTTCTTAACCTTAAACGGCCACTAAACAAACTGTTGTAAATCAAGGACTATCTGCGCAGAGATGTTCACAATGTCCAAAGTTTAAAATTTGTAGAGTTGGAAATTTAACACATGGGAGACCAAAGATTGACAAAAAAGGAGGAGGGTGAGAAGTACTTAGATGATTTTAGAGTTTGAATATAACTGCAGTATTAAACATATTGTCATATTTTCCTAAGCATTTCTAATTGATTTCAGAGGATTGGGGAGGTATTTCATTGTAGGAGACAAGTTTTTTTTTATTATTTATTGCCTATTCAATTGTGTTCTTGTCTTTTGCGTTACTAATTCAGAGACAGTAATCTGAGATTTTGATGTAAATTGTAATACTTCCAACATCCTATGATTTCTGTAAGCCATGTCTTTGTACAGAAGTGAATCCAAGTGGTTAAAATAACCCAGTAAGAAATTTAAAATGTTCTCTTATTTTTCAGATAAAGAGAAATGAACTTGAGCCTGATCTGGTTTCTTCCACTAAAGAAGCGTTTTTTTATTATAGGGGAGTTTAATAGCAGAAGACCTTAATGGTTTTCTAGGAGTGCCATTCTTGTAATGATGAAGCTGGCTTTCATGCATAAAAGAGGAACTCTGTAGTAAGAGTAGAAAGTTGGTCTGAAGTATTTTGAATCTTCTGTAACAAAAACTGAAGCTAAGGGGGAGGGGAGAGAATAATCATGTTCTTATTGATACTTCTCTGTACAGAAAGGATTTGATTTTGTAATCTACGTCTGTCCAAACAATTAAAAGGCCGTTATTCAAGAAACAGACCTCTTAGCAATAAATGCAAAATCTATTGCATTGTGAACTGCCTTCTACAGCTTTTTTTTTAATGGAAGGAGAACTTGTACAATAAAATGAGATGTTGGATTAGGGCTGGGGACGCTCGCATTCAAGAGCATTTTCAGCCATGGCAAAACAATCTGCAATTTTGATCTGCTACTACTCTCTCGCCTTCTCTCTCAGCTTGACATATTCCTTTTGGGCAAAGAAGTGCTGTGTATATTGCTTAGGGATTCTGGAGAAAGGACCGGAAATAAATCTAATAAATTACATGGAATAAAGTTTGCCTTGGTCTATATGTTCTTGCCCTTCTAATGTGCTAATCCTTAATTTAAGTGATGACTTAGTTCTTATTAGTCTGTAACCCATTTCCCAGGATTGCTGTAAATCTGGGGTACAACCCAGTCATTCTTGGGAGTTATCAATGCCGGGGCCTACTTAAGGTGAGCAGATGATAGCTAGGTGCTGCTATTTGTTATGACAGTCTCTTACAAAGAAACCCCTTGTATACCCAGAACTGGAGACCAACTATTAAATGCATAAATCAACCTTTTAAAAAAAATGAATTTGTTTCATGTTTGAGTGGGTAGACTAGGGATTACGCAGTCTATTACAGAGGCCTTCTCCAGCTTTCTAAGAGCTACTAAATTTCCAGAATGAATTTTTTTTGCTTGTTTCTTATAGTTAACAGGAAAAAATAAATACAAGGATATATTGACTTTAAATCCTGATTGATAAGGGAAATATTGCGTATTTTATCCGTTAACACATCAATGGCAAAGATAATACTATCAAGGAAAAAAAATAGCCATATGAAATTAAATTAAGTTGGTTTTTAAATCATATATTTTTGTACAAAAGTGAGTGGCACATCCCTGAAAATAGGGGTGCTCCAGTCATATTCATAGCCTAATTTAGATTTTTTTTCAATAATTGCACATTCTCCTATATTGCAATATGCAACTCATGAGTCAAAAACAAAATTATCAATATTGCTAGTATACATCATTAATCATAGTTAAACAGTATTTCATAAAATATTAATAGAAATAAGTGTTTAATTAAAACAGTCTATAATCACAGGCAAAAAGCAAGAATTATAAATGTCAATTTTAAAAGCAAAGTGGTACTGTACAGCCTCAAATGTTAACGGATTTTTTAGTTGTTTTTTTTTTTTATTTTTACAAACCTCTTAGTTTTATAATAGTTACCGTTTTGAATTAATAAGCTAAACCTTCCACAGAAATGTGCTCAGCCAAACGTCAATGACGATTCCAGGGAAAGGCAAAGTTAAGCAATAAAAAATTCAGTCCTATATTCTTTCTGCAAAGGATACATGTTGACATCTTACAACCCACAAGGAGAGTAGCTTCAGAAAAACAGGAGAAGGAATTAAACCTGGTCCCTTGAAGGAGGGGAAAAAAAAAGAATTTTACAGCTGTCTTCCTAAAAACAGCAGCTACTGGTTTATATATATATACATATATATGTATGTATGTATGTATGTATGTGTATATATGTGTATATATATATTTCAGTAAAAAAGGAAGCGATCACCAGGAAATAAAACACCAAGGTTTTAATAAATAAAATCAAGCTTTCGATGGCTAACATCTGCCATCATCGTCAGGATACAAGCCAGTTAGTGAGGAAACCTGCTTATAAGCATAGCCACACCTAAACTCTATGCATGGACCTTGTAACAGGTCCAAGCCAACTAATCCTTACTTCACTTACAGCCTTCAGTGATTCTTTCTTTTAGCTCTTACTTACATCCACCTAGCTTTCAATGGCTAGCACCTGCCATCATTGTCAGAATACAAGTAAGTAAGAGCTAAAAGAATCACTGAAGGCTGTAAGTGAAGTAAGGATTAGTTGGCTTGGACCTGTTACAAGGTCCATGCGTAGAGTTTAGGTGTGGCTATGCTTATAAGCAGGTTTCCTCACTAACTGGCTTGTATCCTGACGATGATGGCAGATGTTAGCCATCGAAAGCTTGATTTTATTTATTAAAACCTTGGTGTTTTATTTCCTGGTGATCGCTTCCTTTTTTACTGAAATGTATGTATCCAGGAATCGCTATTCTTAATTTTTAGTCCCAAACTCAATCAGGATTCATCATCACCAAAAGTTGCACATGCTTATTCTAAAAACCCAAAGTGCACCTATGTGAGGTATGGCTAGCAGGCACATTGAATATGTGGCAGTGACCGAGAGATGTAATCTGTCAAACATCCAGAGATTGCTTGTGGGAAGTCACACTGTATATACAACTCTTAGGTTTAGAGTACAAGTTATCCTCAACTCACGACCGCAATGGAACCCAAAATTTCTGTTGCTGAGACATTTGTTAAGTGAATCTTACCCCATTTTATGACTTTTCTTGCCACAGTTTTTAAACGAATTACTGCAATTGTTAAGTTAGTAACACGGTTGTTAATGAAGCTGGCTTCCCTGCTGACTTTCCTTGTAAGAAGGTCACAAAAATGATCATGTTGACCTTGGGACACTGCAACTCAATGAGTCAGTTGCCAAGTGTCTGAATTTTGATCACGTGACCTCGGGGATCCTGCAACGGTTGTTAAGTGAAAAACATTGTTAAGTCACTTTTTTCAGTGCCATTGTAATTTTGAACTGTCACTAAATGAACTGTTGTAACTTGTATTAGTTGATTTAACTGAAGTTCTAACTTTCAGCTTCTTTGCAAGTTACGGATGTGCTAAGACTGACTAGAGTAGAGGCAGTCTGCTAGGAATCTTGGGTGTTATGTTCCCAACACAGTACTTGGGAGGTGCCAAACTGAAGAAGGCTTAGTTATTTTGTGTGATTCTAAGAGTGTTCATGATTGGGCTTGACAATTAATATTTCACCTTAATGCAAGCTCAAACCATCATGTCTTCAGGCCTTTTGAAGGAAGAACTGACAATGGTATGCTATAGTCAATGTTTTATGGCTCACTGATGGAATTTCAAGCCTGTATCATTGCTTATCCTCTCCAGAAAAGTATTTTTTTTTAAAAAAACCAACAACAACCTTCCACAGAATTCTTTACATAAGTATTATAGCAAAGTACTTTTAAAGTATTCCACTGATGTTTATTTACAACATCAGATTTTAAGCATTTGTTCAGCAGCTGCCAAATGATAAAGGAAATTTTCTGTTGCTGGTGGGAATCGCTTTTGTTTCAGTGCTTCTAAGTTAAGTGATGGCTTCTCACCATCATGAGTGACTTCTGTGAATGAAGCCAGATTTGTCAAGATTTCCTTTGTCTTCAATGAAACATCCTGCAGAGACATTTTAAAATAAAGAGAGCAAATATGAAAAAGTTAATTAAAAAAAAAAAGCTCTTACTCTGAGATTTATGTCAGGTCAGTATAAAAGTTTGATAAAAACGATAAAGGCGGGATACAAATAATAGTACAAAAGCCCTATAGATACTATTTTCTGAGATGGAATACTATTGGAATATTTAAACTAGGTTGATGTGATTTCATATTACTGCTACTGTTCTGAATGTTATCAATATATGAATCTAGTGGATTCACATACAATGTTTAGGTTTATGCATATCATTTGAAATATGTTAGATGGTATGTTGCACAAACTCAACTGCTATAATTTTTTAATTACCATTTTAGAACATTGCATATACGCTGCCAATTGTGGCTTATCAAAAGAAATATATTTAAACAAATAATAGCTAAAAGTGATGTATGAATCTCTATGCATGCTTAAAGGATATATAGATTTGTGGCTTTATGACAAGGTTCTTTTCCAGTGCTAGTTGGAGATGCCAGGGACTACAAATATATATGGTATACAGTGTACAGTATTTATCATGAAAATGTGGGGTAAGATGCCATGGGTAATGCATAAAGGTAATCCTTTCATTTAACGCAGACATGTCAAACACAAGGCCCGGGGGCTGGATGCGGCCCACGAAGTGGTTTCATGTGGCCTGCGAAGCCATCTTGGAAACAGTGAGAGAATGGCCCCCGCTGCCTTGGCCCTGGCCCAGGCAGGCCGTGAGCCAATGTACAATTTTGTGGTGGCCATCTATGCTGAAACGCATTTAGTCTTAGCTCCACAAGGCCGTCTAGAAACAGCAAGGAACCAGCCCCTTCCGTGTCAGCCCCACCCCCTGGGTTCATGCTGGGGAGGTGTCACCCTTTGTGAGGAATGAAGAAATGGACCATGCCTTGGCGCTTGCCCTGGTCCCACCCCTTCTGCTAGAAACCCTCAGATCTGTCCCACTCTTGCTCAGGCCCACACAGGCACCCTTGACGTGAACGATGTAGAGCTGACCATGCCCACCCAGTAGGCCACACCCACTCTGGCCACACCCACCCGGCCTCCCGAGGGCAACCGCAATGCTGATGCGGCCCTCAATGAAATTGAGTTTGACACCCTGATTTAGCGGCTGTTCAAAATTATAATAACTGCACAACTGGTATATGCGTTGGGTGCTCAGAGTTCTGATCATTGTAGCATCCCTGCAGTCGTGATTTCTGATTTTCCCTGCCGGTTTCCCACAAGTAAAGTCAATGGGGAGGCTGGTAGGAAGTTGGAAGTCATAGTCATGTGAGGTCTTCACTTAATGACCTGCATAGTCATCACTTAACAATGGAACTAGAGCTGTCAGCATTTCTATTGCTAAGTGACACAATCTTGTGCTATCAGACTTTACAACTGTATTGCTAGCAATGGCAATTCCAGTCCCAATTGCCATGGTAATCCAGGGGCTACCTGTACAATTAAAAGAAAATGAAATAAATTTTCAAATACAGAGACATGTAAGTATGAATGTGGGTGTAATCATCTGAGAAGTTAAGCAGAAAAATAATGCAAAAAGAGTGAGGGTGCCTAATGCACATGACAGGACCTTTTCTCTTAGGTTTCGAAGGATTTTAAGTGTTCTTTGTCTTTTTTCTAAAACCAATTATTATTTAAGGTTTATATTATAGGTTTTGTGCTTATCTCAAAAACATCTATTTTAAAATAAATTAAGGAATCACAAGTGGCAAATATGGTCAAAGGATATTTCACTGATTGGAAAAACAGTAACTTTGAGGCCACAGATGACCTGTTCCTACTTCAGATTATCAGCGAATAGCCAGCTCTCCTCAACTTTTGACTCACATATTTATTTCAATATATTAAGTTGGTGAATATTTCCAATTTAATTTATGAAGAACTTAACAGTTTTACATTATGTATGGATTCAAGGAACCATGGCTTGCTTTAAATCAAATCCATTTCAGTTCCAGCTTTGTTTAGAAAAGCAGGCTTTTATCTTAAAATAAAAGCTGGTCTCTTCTCCGCCTTCCATAGAAGACACATAGCCTGAAGTTTTGACAGAGCTCAGTCATCTAAACCATCTTAACCCTGGCTTAAATACTAATAACTGTATTCTAAACCAGGAGTGTAATAGTTTAGATAACAAAATAATATTAAGGACTGAAATAATACAGAAACTTAACCTTTATAACTTGACTGTTTGATTTCTCTGGATCTTCTGCAGACTGAACAATTAGCTGACCAAGTTCTTTATGCAATTTTCCCATTGTCATGGCCTCTGAGGAGGAAGAGAAGTATACAATCACTCATTTCCTTTATATAAATAAATGAAAAATAAACATATAACTCGAAAACAGAACTGTAATCACAACATCAGAATTTGGGTCAAAAGACCACATTGCCACACAAAAGGTACATATTTGTCATACCAAAGATCACATTGCCATACAAAAGGTACACATTTCTAGATCAAGATTTCTTCGACCTGCATTCAATGACAATTCTTTGCTCTTTGTATAATGCTAAAATTTTGCTTCTTTGTAATTTCATAATAGAGCTGAACTGATAGAATTCCCCCATTCTGCTATCGTTTAGGATCCATATTTCAGTTTCCATACAGTAGTATCATCTCTTTCAATCAGAAAAGAACTGTGGCGGCATCGCTTTTATCCAACTAGATCAGTGGCCCCAACCTTTTGGGCACCAGGGACTGGTTCCACGGAGGGAGGTTTTCCGCAGGCTGGAGGGGATGTGGTTTCACATGCTGCCTGCATCCTGTGGATGGGGCTTTACTTGTTTGCACGGCCCAGTGCCGATCCACGGACCGGGGGTTGGGGATCCCTGAACTAGATGATTAAGTGAAAATCCTACTGTTAGCTTTTAATTAAATAACTTTCCCTTCTTTCGAATCATTCCTTAAAATAAGCATTTTTTCCTATCTTTTTCCGTGTGCCTGGGTTAGGAAATTAGCATTGACACTAAAAACTTACATCTTAGTTCATTCCATTTTATGTTAACAGTTTTCTGAGTATTGGAACAGAGGAATGCACTACACCATAGAAGAGGATATTGAAATTTCCTACACCACCTTCCACATTTAGGAGGCTATTGGAGACTGAGGATCAGAGAATTAGAACAGTAATGGGCAAAGGGAGGCATTATAGAATATCATTACGTAGGAATTTCTTCTTGCCTTTCAGCCTTATCCTAGGATCCTGGATGCCAAACTGACTTCAATCTGCTAATACCAGTAATAAAATCATATTCCATGACCCAGGTACAAGATAGAACTGGAGTGAATAAACTAAATCCTGGTTGGGTGAAAACATAGATGTTTTCCTCTTCCGGGTCTTAAACGCCTAACAGCTATAACACCAAGGAAAGTAGCTTGTAAAGTTTCTCTTGGAAATTTTTATGATCATCATATACGCTGATGTATAATGAGATATTAGACCACATATTTTTGACTGACCACGAGGGACACTGTAGGAGTTCTGCTAGCATACTGCTCATCTTGCAGTCCAATTGTTCCATCAATCTTTTGACATGATCAGATCACTTCCTAGTCAATGTGATACTACAGGTAGTCCTCGTTTAGCGACAGTTCACAGGGTGTGTGTGAAAAAGTAACTTTATGACCAATCGTCACATTTACAACCTTCATAGGCCTATAAAGCAAAGGAAAACTGAAGTAAGATCATAAGTACAGCTGTGGCTTCACTTAGCAATTGATTCACTTAGTGACTGAGTTGCCAGCCCCAATTATGATCACTAAATGAGGACTACCTGTAGTCAGTTCTGGTGACCTCCAGAGGGGAGAAAAAGACCAATTAGGACTTTTGGCCTTAGGCACCTCATACATTCAATTACTTTTAAAAAAATTTCCCAGTGCTCTGGGGATCAATTTTATAATAATCATAGTTTATATCTGGAATTGCTACAGAGTTGATTCAGAATTGATCCTTCTTAGTCATCAATCTAAAAGTTCTTCTTTATTTTCTAAGGAATTCTGGGAAATGAGTCAGAAAAGGAAGATTGAATTTAATTGAACATGACACAAGCCCAGTTTGAGCTTGGATGTAATAGAAGTGAAGCACCATTTTTTAATGATTATGTAGGATATTATAATGGATATTTTTGACATATTATTTTATAATGTAGTGAGCCACCCAGAAGCATATTCCATATGCAAACAAATACATTTATATATGAGAAAAGTAGATGACATAGCCTACAAACCTTTTGCCTGATGTGAAATGGTGATTTCACTTTCAGCCAGATTGACATATACATCATAAAGATCTATCCTGTTGTTCACTTCTGAATCTATACATCCAGCAATGTATCCTGATAAGAAAAGATTTTAGTATGTTTCAGTAAAAGCATTCTCACTAGAAGTACTTTAATATGGGATCCTTGGTGCTCTCTGAGGTTGGCTGTTTTCTTGCAGACGTTTAATTACCAAACTAGATACCATCATCAGTGCTAGTAGAGAATGGGTTTTGCTTTCATTTTGTATACTAGTGGCTTGTCCTGTCAGTATTGGTGGAAGTGGTCTTGGTGGTTCCTTGATTGGGATATTGTTTGCTTCTGGATTGTTGTTAAAATGTTAATCTTAGTGTTAATCTCTGCTCATCTGGGTGTTGATTGCTTGTGAGGAGGTCTTTTAGTCTTTTTGTTTCCTTTTTGGCTTTCTGATTGTCTCTTTTAAATGGTATGTAGATATTTTTCTCTACGTCCCTATTGATGCCTGATTTGTGTGACTCAAACCAAAAGACCTCATCAGCAATCAAAACCTAGATAAACAGAGATTAATATTAGATCAACAATTGATAAGCAAACAATATCTCAATCAAGAAACTACCAATGCAGACAAATAGCCCAATGAAAGAACCACCAAGAACAACACTAATGTGGCAAGCCACTCCCTACTAGCACTGATGATGTTCTATAGTTTGATAATGAAACATCTGCAAGAAAATAAACTCAGAGAGTACCAAGGACCCCAGAGTTCAACCTGAGTTACAAATATTCTCTTCCATCACTTTTATATGAATTTAAGAAGTTTAAAATTACTTTTATTCATTGTATAGTCTTGAACATGCATGCTAACATTGGACTCTACCAGTATCATAGAAATTTACCTAATAAATAACAGGTACCAAATTCTATATCCGTATTCCGTTATTCTACAAGAAATCCAAGCAACTACTTTTTGCAATAGATAATTAGGAGGAGTTGTCCAGTGCTGCAATTTCCAAACATCTGAGCCACCAAATGGATCATAAGATTATTAATGTGATTTTGAAGGAACTATAATGAATAGTATCTTTTCTGGGCTTTGACCATCATCTTGTGATATTTGAGCTGATATCTCAAAATCTTACAAAAGTTCAAATTATGTAATACTACTGTGAATGCTTCTTTGGATTAGAATGTTAATAGCTTTTATAATATAGAGAAATGTTATAGAAGCATATTAGAGACAATTAATAAACTTATGGGGCCCTGGAAGCATGCCTTTTTTGTCACAGCATCTACCCTCTGGAACACCATATTCCTTGAGTTAAGATTGGCCCTAACCCTGGTGGACTTTTGTAAAGCACTGAAGATTCACAGGTTCTCCAGGCCTGGGAATTGGGAGGCTAGATGGCCTGGTAAGAGGTCTTAGTCAACTGTTTGTCCTTGGTGACTATGGTAGTGACCCTTTGCTAATACTGTTTATAATATTTGAATATGTTATTATCTGCCCATAGTGACATGGATGATTATATAGACTGATTTAATAAATAATGAACTATTTTTTCTATTACCACAAAAGTTAATTTAGTCATTCTGCTATTGTATGTAATGCTGATTTACATCCATTATCGGTAATACCTGGACACATTTTTAATGCTTCTAATTCATCATCATTCAGATGCACATATGAATGAAGAATTGACCAATCTTGTCGGTGCCACACTAAGGCTGGTAATGCCCTAAAAGAAAAAGGTTTTTATTATTTTAATACAATGGTTCATATCATCTCCTCAAAGGATGCACTAATTGGTCTTGTCCCCTTTGCCTAGCTCAGGGGTAGGCAACCTTGGCTCTTTTATGACTCGTAGACTTCAACTCCCAGAATTCCTGAGCCAGCCAAGGTTGCCTATCTCTGGCCTAGCTTATGAGGGGATCAGGACTCTAAATCATATGACATAATTTCAGCCATACCAAAGATGGAGGGGCATTTTTTTATAATATACCATATGGATGGATGCATGGCCAGCAGGCATACCCTGGACCCACTTCCAAACTGGAATTTTACAAAAACAAATGCATTCAATGTTAAGAAATGTTTTGAAGATGTCAACTCTGTTGAGCATTGCTTTTACAGAATCTGTAAAAGATTTTTTACATATTTTTTACATATTTTACAAAATGATTAACTACAATAGTGGATAAGTACAAAGAGATTACTTTGACACAAGTCAATAGGATCAATTATCTTAATAGACTGTAGTCTGTTTCAAAACAAACTAATGTCATGCAATGGCTTACTGAGCCAAATTACGATTAGTTATAAATCATAATCACATTTAAGAACTGCACTGGGGAATCCAATACCTCCAACTGACAGGGCAAACTACTATATGTACAGAGAGCAAAATCCAGTCCCTTCTAACACTGAAGATGTTACCTCATCAATTGAAATTTCTTCAGGAAAACTATCTAGAAAGCACCAAGGACTACACAACAGATACTTTATTCAGGCATTCTTTTATACAACAAAGATTTATTTATTTGTATCCCACAAATTATTTTACAAATAACTCAAGGTAACAAATATATCACACATTTCTCCTCCTATTTTCCCCACAACAGCAATCCTGTGAGATGTGTAGGACTGAGAGTGACTGGCCCAAAGTCACCCAGTTGGCTTTCATGGCTAAGGTGGGACTTGAACTCATGGCCTCCTGCTTCTAACCTGGTACCTTAAACACTAGATCAAAGATATCTCCTGTTATGAAAAGTTTGACATTGGGAATTAATTTTACTGACTACATGGTAACGGGGAACATGGGTTAGCACTACAATCAACATTAAGGACATCCTGAAACTAGAGGTGAGGGAAGGGTAAAATAAAAGACTCTTCTGAACTGGACTTTCAGTGGTCTTTTGAAAACAATACAAAGTTAAACCACTGTTAAATTTTGACACCAAACCAAGGACTCACATTACAATTGAATGTTACATACATACATATGTATATATGTATGTATGTGTATGTGTAGTATACATACATACACACACACATATATGTATATATGTATGTATGTGTGTACATACATATATATGAAATAAATTATTAGAAATAAATAAGGAATTTGGCCAAGAGATTTGAAAATGAAATTATGTGAAGGAGAACCTTTTTATTTCATCAATTTGTTTTACCTGGTAAATTCAAGGATAGTTTCTATTCTTGGATGATATACTACAATTCTTTTCTTTAACATGAGCGCAGTATAGAGGATGACTGTTTCCATTCCAAACTGAAACACTATATCTAGGACAATCAGAAGTTAAAACAGAATCTTAATATAACAAAATAGAATTCTGTACAATTAACAACATAACTATATGAACAATTATAATTTGCTTGAATTCACTTTTATGAAGAGGCAAAATTTATTCAGATTTACAGAATACTTTTTAGATATATCAAGCTACACTTTGGTATTACATCTATGTCATAGCTTGTTTAACTCAAAATAGAGTAGATTCACCTAACATGCCAAGCCATGGTTTATAAGCTCCAAATAGCAAACCAATAACACGTGAACCTGGCATTTATTTTACTTTTTTTTAGAATGCAAACATTGTGTATCTTTTACATCTTTTTGCTTTCATTAAAAACCATCGTACCAATTCAATTCATGCCAGGATTTTATTTTTCTCACCCTTTTGCAGGGGAGGGCACAAAACGGAAACCCAAAGCAGGCCCTGAAAAACTCTTGTAGCTCCCAAGATTCACTTTTGCTGATGGTAGCCTTGAGGAAAAAGCTGGTGATGCAACTAATCACAACCTGTATTTTGAAAGCAGTGGTTGTTGTGCTTTCAGGGTCAGCTTACTTGGAAATAAATTTCATTGAAAGGGAGTTTATTCTTAAGAATGCATAGTTTTAACCCAAACTGTTTTTTAAAAAAAATCTCACCTTTGACTGAGCCTGCAAGATAAGCTTTTCTGATATCAAAATCTTTGCTTAGGAAAGAACCATTTTCTTCACTCTGACAAATCCCCTTTGTAAGGACAGAAATATAACTCTCCATCATCTTTACAGGAGTCCTATATTTCAGGTATATTCTGAAAAAATAAATTGAACCTCAATAATCTGGGCCAAAAAGAATAAAGTGTTTTTTTCACCCATGAAAACATTCACCCACTGCTGTTTTTGCAAGACTTACTAAACCCCACAATGTGACTTGTGCTCCTTCCTCTTTTGTTCTCTCTGGTTCCCTCTAGCCATCCTTCCCCTCTTATTATCTTGCTTATTTCCCAGTCCTTTCCATACAGAGGATTTCTTACAATTACTTTCAACGTCATCATATATTACTTTACAATTTTTAAACACTACACAGGAGATAATCTTTCAAGTCCATCTACCCCCATCACTTCTAAAATCCACATCCTAGTTCCCTTTTTGCTGTTTTCCAAAAAACTAAAGCTTTTCTTTTTAAACCACACATTTACATCAGAGTTTCTATCGTCCAAGGTGGAAGGTGGTTTTCCTAATGATATAGTAAAGCTTGTACTTTTGAAGATTCTTAATTTCAAAGAAATTAATAGTAAGCAGCTTTCTAAAGTAATTAAGAGAAAATAGGCAAACCCAGTGTCTCTTTGAAAGGATGATCCTCCTCCCAGAGGATCTCAAACCTGCTGTAAATCACTGTTTTATGATCTCTTTGCAGGGAGATTCTGTATGGAGCAATCTTGTGGGCAATCCCTTTCCCTCTCCTTGATCGGGAGAATTCTGAGGACCCAATACTTTCACTGGCTCCTATTTCCACCATAGTCATTAGCTCGACAAAAAGCAAAGTCATGTTCAGTCCACCACTGCTGACTCTTGAAGTATTACCAGTATTAACAATAATCTAACCTGGATATAATATGAATATAGTTAAACTGGTCTTTCTCCAGGTAGAGATCTTATTTTTATTTATTTCTAAAGCCAGATAGAATTGCTGTACATGAAGTTCTACATATAGCTGGAACATGATCTACATCATGCAGGAAGACAAATCTTGCTAGATTTAGTGTGAATAAAGTGCTTACAATAAAACTACATTTGAGAAGAAATGCACTTCAACTTGTTCACTTCATGGTTTCCTGTGAGAACTGCTAATAGGATACTATTGTGTCATTTTTGCAGTTTTAGTAAACCTTTTATTCACTTGAAATAATCAGTAATTATACGTTGATCCTTTCAGAAATATTTTCACCTCTTAGTTGGGAATACATTGCTGTGCAAAAGGTTTAGCTACTCAGCCATGCAATTGTAGAAAATGTATCAAGCAATACACACCTACAGAGAATCCTAGAGAAGGCTGCATACTTTTCCGGATTGAAGTCTTTGGTTGTCAGAACAATGGAAAAATGGGTCACCTATGCAACATACAAAAAAATGTTAACATCCAAATATTTCTTGTAAAATAATATTAACAATTGGAAAGGAGAGACAATTTGGCAGATAAAGCTGCTTTGATTTACTTAAGAGCTGGACTTTGACAGGGAAGGTCCAATTGTGGTGTCTGGGCAGTGACTTGTGGGGAAGATTGTTGCGAATAGTTAAGACTGCAGAGGATCTTGAAGGAAATAAATTATTTGGACCTGTTTCAGTCAGAGTTCAGGCCTTTGCACAGGTCCATTTAGTGCACTGTTTTTGCCCATCCCTAGAATGGAAGACCCTTCAAAAAATCACTCATGCCTTAGTTCCCCTCATGAATGAACACCTGCAACATGGTCTACATGAGGCTGCCTTTGAAGGCCACATGGAAATCACAGTTGGTCCAGAATGCTACAGTGCAGGCAGGGACAAATGAGTATACCATGATATGCCCATGAGCTGCATGTTCCATGAGCTGCACAGATTGCCAATTGGCTTCTGGATGCAATTCAAGGTACTGGTTGTCATCTGTAACACTTTGTGTTGTACAAGACCTGCTTATTTGAAGAACTGCTTATCTTCAATAATTCTAACTGCCTAACAAGATCAGGCAGATTGCTTAATTGAAAGGCTCTGGAGCATGAAGCAATGTCATCTATTGGGATCTAGGATGTGTGCCTTCTTAGTTGTCATATCTGCCATCTGGAGTAACATTCCCCTGAGGATCTGTAGAGCTCCCAACCTGACGGAGTTCCAGAGGTCACCAAAAACATGGCTTTTCTCCTAGGTCTAGAGGTAGGATGGCTGCTGAGCCCATCAGTTTTGGTTTGGGGTATTTGGGGACATTTTCGGGTTCCTTCTGGACGCTCAGAATTATTCATGATTTTTCTTTTTGTTTTTGAACCACTGATCATCATCAGGAGCTAGGCAGTTTCCAAGTTTAAATCAATAAATTAAGTCTACTACATCACTGAAAATCTATGGATACTTGCTACAGACCAATACATCTTGAATATTATACAAACATCCAATTTAACTTCAGTTGATGCAAACATAAAAACCCAGTTATTTTTTCTATTATTTTTTCCAAATTGCTTTTGTTACCACATATATAGAACATATATTATATAGCATATTGATAGGTTATCCCTTATGAAATCAGCAGACATAAAAATAAGCCTTGTTGCAAAAATCCAATTAATCTCTTAATAGGGTAATGAATGTGCAAGTAAGATCTTTCTATCAAGCCCCCTTTCTCCAAATTTCAATCTTACCCTTTTCAAGGTAGAAGCCTCTGGAATTTCCATGGTTGTAATATAAAACCATGTTAGTTTGTACTGACCAAATAGGAAAGTGTGAAGCTGTTTATTCTCATCTGTAAGGCAGCATTTTCTCAATAAGAGGTCTCTGAATGAAGTCGTTGTAGAAGGATAACACCAAACCCACAGAGCATCTCCATTGGTATCTTTTTCTATGGTGGAAAGATGTTCACTGTGAGAATGCCAACAGCAGCAAGGGAGTAAATTGATCAGTTAGATCCAATTGTGCATTCAACTTAATGCCCACTTTTATACATTTTAAAAATACATTATGGAAGCCTTAATAGTTCAGGAAATTAATTCATATTTATAGCAACATACATACATGTATTTTAATCTGTAATGTGATATTAATCTGGAACAATTTTATTAAAAATATGAAACAGAGCAGCAAATTCTAAATTTTAGCTAAAAGCACATTTAATTTAAAAACTATCACAAACTATATTTCCTTATCTAGACTTCCTCTTTCCTCTGCTGTTTCCCTTGTATTAAATTTTACACTGTACTCTTTGTCAATTCTGCAACAAATTGAACTGAAGCCATTTTCACTTCATTTTCAGTTGCCACATATTTAGAAGGAGGGGAGTGTAGTTTTAAGCTAGCCATAACAATTCTCAAGTATGGGAACCAAGGTAATTACTGGTAACACTTTGGCGGGTTGGAGATCTGGGAGGAGTGTCTGCGTTTAGTAACAATTGGTGAATGTGATTTATGACATCTAATTGGGGTGGGAATTGCAACTTGCAACTTTATAACCAGGGGGACAGGAATTTAGTCTTGGGTTCACCTTTGTATGTGCTGTTATTTTGTAGCCAAATAAAAATGTTCTTTGAGGAAGAATTCCTTGCCTTGAAATTCTTTTAATTGGTCTGATCTATCGGAACCATGACACTCTTCTTGTAGCAAGAATCCCCTCTACTAGAATTTTTAAAAATCAATCCATTGAGTGTGCTAAATAACAATAATAGTTTATTTGTGGTTAAGTTCTTCCGTTATGGTTTCCCTGCTAAGTGAAGTGAGATAAATGATGGCAAAAAAGGCTTCCTTAGTGAGGCCTTGATTCAAGAATGATTTCACATCAAGGGAGATCTAGTAATTGCACTGGTGATAAGCTAAGACATTTATCCTGAGCATTTTTATAGCTACCTTCAATCAGCATTATATGAGGAAAGCAACATTTTTAAAATTTTCCTGTGCTATTAACTGCATTCAATTACTTTTCCAGTCTCCATTCAGAAAAGGATTGGAATTCTAGGATAACTAAAAGGGGTCTTTTGAAAATCAGAGGCAAAGGCCCCTTTGTAAATTAATAGGAGATAGGTGCAGGTGACTACTTCACTCAACATTCAGAGTGACTATTACTTTTAAGCATATTATAATCAACTGCAATAGCTACATTCAGAGACTACATTAAATTATAAAGTGGCTGGATTTATTCTAACTTCGTACATTGCGCCGAATGCTGCAGGTAAAGTTTTCTTTACATCAAGTTCCTTATGGTTACATTGGCAATAATATAGTAGTGGTTTGTCATTGCCTTCTTCCAGAGCGTTTCCTTTTTCAATTCACCGCCATGGGATTTGCTTGATCTTCATCAATATTAAACAAATTTGAGCCTGAACCGTTTTTTTTTTTTTTTAAGTTTCCCACGGTGTCCCAGGTGCTGTGCCCTAGCCTAGTTGTACTCATTACAAGGCAGGCGGTATTAGGAGCAGGGGTGATAGTAAAAAGAATCACGCTAGAATGAAAGGTACTCCTCCGCTCGCTTATTCCTGTTTAGGTTAAGGGAGCATGCAAAATCGCTTGCTTTCTTTCCTAGCCTTCTCCTCTAATCTTTTTGCATGGGCATAGACGGACCTGAAAGAGTGCAACAATCCTGTTGGATCATGCATAGCCAAAGGCAAAACGCTTTTAGACTTATCTTCTATGGACGATTGGAAAAGGAGAAAAAGGAAGACGTTCCCTCTCATCTGCCTTCCCCCACTGCTTTATGAACACACAATTTTCCCGTTTCAGAATAGAAATAGGGAGGGGAAACAAGGGATGTTAACCAACTCTCCTCCCCCCCTCAAGTCGGCATTCCCACAGCATGCAGCCAGGAACAGAGATGCGCTTACCAATCAAACCTACACCCAAAAGCAGCTGAGCCTCCGTCTCTGCCATCTTTCTCCTCCCAGCGCCAGGATCCCTCCTCTGTTTCCTGAGAGACCCATCATGGGCCTCATAGCGGGAGAATAATTGAGTAACACGCCTCCTGGCTTCCGGCTTGATTTCGGTCTTCGCTTACAGAAATTAACGCGAAGCAAGCATAAAGTGTGTCCGCGAGATTTTTTTCCTCATTTATTTTAAAGACTCTTGGCAGTTAAGCAAAATTTCTTCACAGTGGTGTGAAGAAAAATCAGTGTAATTCGGAAAGTCGTCTAGTCCACCTTTCTGCTTAATGGGGAATTCGTATTAGAGGATCCAGTTTAGTTAAAACATTTCTTTTGGTCATTGCCAAAACGTTCTTACTGCTTACGTTCCCTTTCCAGCTTGACCAGATTTTGCTCCCATGAAATGTTCATCTTTGCTTGAGTTCTGCTCTCCAGAGCAAGAGAATAAGTATGTATTTAACTGCAGGAGATGCTTCATGTAACCATACTGCCTTTTTGGGAGACCTCCTGCCATCAGTTCTTTGAGTAATTTTCACAGTTGTAATTATAACTTTATAAGCATTATTTTGCTTTTACATAAATCGTTTTTCCAAGAAGTTTTGGATGTGGCAATCCATGGCCACTAGACTGAACACTGTCTTCCACAAACATTACATTGTATAGATGGGTTTAATGCTCTTCATACCTTGAAGATCATAATTATCCCTAGTGTTACCATAATGGAGTTCAAGGGCTGCCACCGAACTTCTTGTCCTAGTTTAATTTCAATAGTATGTTCTAGAATGAGATTCTAAATCTAAAAGATTTTTGTTCTTGGTAATGAGATTGGATCTTAGGGATTCCTCACAAAATAGAACTTTGTTTTTTAACTTCTACAGCAAGCTTTTGGGTGGAGTCATCTGAGGGATAGGGTGTATAATTCCATGTGTATAATTTATAAATGCAGTTAATATTTCTCCTTTTTGATTTAATTTAATGGCACAATGATGTTCCTAATTTGTAACTTTAGAAACAGCTTGAATACTGCAATATATGTAAATGACTTTTGGTGGCTTACATAAAAAAATGCAATTCCACAAAAATAGAGAATAAAAATGGCAACAACTCAAATTAGCAGAATGCTATCCAAAAAAGCTGTCTTTGTGGAAAACCAAGAAAGAGAGATTCAGCCTGATCTCCATAGGATGGTTTTTCCACAGTATCAGCATTTTTACTGAAAAGCAGTGGGCAAAAGCTCCTCTGGCCATGGCTTTCATCTGGTGATCTAGCAAGTGTCATAGATCCAGGCATCTTACAAGGTTGGTAATAAATACAGCTCACATGTTTTGGGGGGGGGTATTTTTGCACCCCAAATTGCCAAATAACTCCTCCTAGCATAACCTCTATTGCAGTGGTTCTCAACCTTTCTAATGCTGCGACCCCATAATACAGTACCCCATGTTGTGGTGACCCCCAACCACTTATACATCACCGGGTGCCAGCGGTGTGGCCAAAGGGGGAAAAAATGGCAGACAGCCTTGTTTGGCGACCCCCATGAAATGGTTGTTCGATCCCAAATGGGGTCCCGACTCACAGGTTGAGAACCACTGCTCTATTGCATCCCACAAGCCAGGGGCTGCTAAGCCAACCTTTTTTCTATTAAACATAAACTGGAACCACCCACTAAGGAAGGAGCAGATTCATCACAAAACAATACCTTGATCTCCCAACCCTCCAGTCTAAAGATACTATGGTTGATTGTATCAAAAGTCATCAAGAAATTTAGCAAGACTAGGAGAGGTACATTTACCCCATCCATGTCCCTATGCAGGATTTCCAGGAGAGTCACTAATGCTGTTCTCTCCCCTAAACCAGGTCCAAACTCTGTCTGAAAAGATTTAAGGTTCACAGGGTGTGAAATTGATCCACCGTTTCAAAAAACTTTTCCCAAAGGAAGGTTGAAGATAGATCTGCCCAGGGATGGTTCTTCAGGAGGCATCATACTCTAGTTTCCTCCTATGTCCCCAGCAGCTTTTCCTCCTGCAATCTCAATTTCCCAGATTTGAGTGGTCACTACTGTTGTGTTCTGTGTGTTGGTAAGACATTGAGATGAGGCAGGAATAACAAAGTTGCTTCTTTATTTAATCTTCAACAGAACAACACAAAATGACGCAGAACCCTTTTATACCCTTACAGGGAGCAACATCAACCAATCAGTGCAACATATCTTTCCCCGCCATCCGCATGTGCCATAGGCTGGAGACAGCCTGTCTGGCCCGGGCAGCCAAGTGGCCTGCCCTGGTCTCTCTGCAGCTTCATGCACTTGCTGTGTCAATCACAGCCCAGGACGTAACAACTACCATACCTGTTTTCTCTACAAGCTAAAACAGTGGTTCTCAACCTTTTTATATGGCGCCCCGGACATAAACAGGCGGCGCGCATGCGCAGCAGCGCCCCCTGCATGGCACATGTGTGGCGACGCCCCCATGCGTGATGTGCATGCGCGGCGGCACCCCCTGCGCCGGCTGACAAAAAAAATGGCGGATCGCGTTGTTTGGCGACCCCTGTGAAATGGTCGATCGACCCCAAATGGGGTCACGACCCACAGGTTGAGAACCGCTGAGCTAAAAGGATAGGGATCCAGCCAAGTAAAAGATAACTTAGACTACACTCTGTATTTTTTTTCTAAAGTCACAGACCTGAAAAAGTTCTAGATTAACATGACTCAGTACTCAGTCACCATGAAAGATTCTGTCCATTACATATGTATTTATATGGCTTCAATTGGCATGCACTTATGCTTTCAGCTAATGTATTAGTCTACTCTAGCTATTGGTGACTATTGTGCATCAAAGTAAATTAAAAATGGAAGCCCTTCTTTAATTAAGAAATAACACAAAACCACGGTTGAACTGATTTCTTGTCATAATGGCCTGGTTCTCTAAATATACTAAAAATAACTCATTTTGTAAACCATAATTACTATGTTCACACAGAGCACCTCATCGACTAAATAAGAATTAATGTAATGTCCAGCCTTTTCGACTTTCATAGAGAAATAAAACTTTCACTTTGGGTCTTCCTAGTTCTGAATCAGCATTTCATGGTCTAGTAAGACTACTAGTGTATTGAATAGGAACCACAGCCCTCTTCCCTGACTATGCTGATAAGGAAAACTGTAAATGCTAGCTCCTAAAGGACGGACGCTGGCCAAGGCAGGTTAAGGCGTCTCTTGATAACACGCAACAACTTTTATGAAGAAGCTGGTTCCAAGGAATGCGGAGACGCAATTCTGAATAACAATCACCAGGGCAGTAATTCTGAAGCCAAGTGTACCAGGTAGAAAATAACAAGCAAAGGCTCTCCGAAAAAGAAGATAAAATTCAGAGCTGCGCCATTCATTCCAGCACATCTTTCTTTTTTTTTTTTTTGAATGCCTTTGAGTTAGCCTTCTCCCCTAGCGATAGCCAGAGCTTGCCGCACATGCGCATACTTAGCTGGGGGGGAGGGAGGTCACAGAGGCGACGTCTAAACGGTTCTCTTCCGGGCACTTTCCTACGTGAGAGTCACGTGACGCCCTCCCTTTCCGGCCTCGCTTGCTGTCTGACTGGGCGCTCCTTAGGGCTCGTTGGCGCGTGAGGAGAAGCCGTCGCCATCATGCCGGTCTACTTCCAGCGGCCCGAGAACGCCCTGAAGCGGGCGAATGGTGAGTGCGAACCTCTGAGGTCGCTCAGATTAAGGCAGAGGCCGCCTCCGTTTCTTTTCGTCTTCGCATCGCCTCCGGCTGGGCTTAATGACGGGGATTGAGGCCTAAGCTGCTACCAGGCCCATAGCCACTCCCCCCCTTCCTTGCTTGGGGAACGCGAACTGCCAGCCGTCAGTAGGACCGGAAGAGGCCATTTATCCCAAGAGCCATTTTAACATAAATTAGGCCTTTTGGTTCTTCTGGCGTCGTGTCACTTGCCCTTTTGGCCAAAATTTGGATTGGGAGTGTGGCCATGAGGACAGAATATTTTTCTTCTTCAACATGTCGCAATAAAAGCAAGCATGAACTATGGCTGTCTCTGATGACTGCCGCGTTCTGCTGTTTACACTTTACTCAGGTCGATGTTTTTTTTCTCTATTCGTTATGGACTGCAAATTTCAACGGATGGCCTATTAAAATGTACTTTTTCCTTGGATATATTCACAACTCACGTTTCTGGTAGCTCTTAAAACTTATTCCTGTTTTCTAGAATCTGATTCATAATTAGAAAACATATTGAACACATTTTTTTTCAAGATTTAGTCTTTGCCTGGTTAAGGGTAAAAAGTTATAAACACAGAAGGTGCAAGTCTTCTTATCTTTTCCTTATCTCTCACATTTCAAGTCCAAAAAGTAATAACTGCTTAATATAATATGGACTTTTAAAAGAACACTTCTTGTTAGAGTTGCTATAAAAAAGTGCTGACACATTGAGACTTAAGAACAATTCTTGATTTCCAGTAGAAAAGCCGGTAGGGCGACCACCTGGAAATCTCAAGACTAGTTCAAAGGGGCAATTACTCAGTGTACCATATTTATTTATTTATCTATTGCACTATTGCAAAACATTTATATATTTGTCTTTAAAGTAGAATTCATGTCCATCATATTTCCCCAGCACTCTTCTGATCTTTTGCGTGTCAACCTGAACATTCTAGTAAAACAACATATGGTGTTAATATATAGGGATATAAACACTCCTTTTAATATATATTTTTAATTGGGATATGAGCACTCTTACAAATTAAAGAACTGCTTGTAAAATTGTTTATGAAATAAATATCCATTATAATTTGATGGAAGTAGAGTCATTTGCCAAAATCTATTGTACATCTGTTACAAACCAAAATTCAGTTAGATTTTGAATGTCAGTTGCAAGAATTGGTAAAAATAATGCCATGAATGTGATTGAGTAGTTTTATTTCATATTACTCAGTCCTTTTACCTACATTTTTCATTTTATTCATTTGTAAAAGATATATCATTTGGATATATGTTGCAGTTTAATATTAAAAAGTTCTTGACTTCCATATTTCCTGTTTATCTTCAACACATGCCACACAATGTGAAATGTGTTGATGGCAAGCCATAGTTGAAAAATGGTGAATAAGATTTTACACCTTTATAAATGCATTCAGTGTATAAGTATGGATAAATTTTGACCTTTGCATCTAAATCAAGGGCAGCTTATTTTTATTTTTATCCTGCCATTATTTTTGTAAATAACTCAAGGCAGCAAATCTAATTCTCTTCCTTATGTTCCTCACAACAACAACCCTGTGTGGTGAGTTGGACTGCCCAAAAATCATATGGAAACTAACTAGAACAACAATAAGTTGTTTGCCAAATATGTAATCACGGGCTGGCATTATTTGTGTACAGCTGTTGAGATGTAAAAATTTATAGGCTTAGAAAAATTGAACTATAGTTTATTTCTATCAATATACTGATGGTATAACAGCATATAAACAGTCTTAACAAAATGTAAATTACACTATCTGGCACAAAGGACTTATAGAATAATATTATTTGTTTAAATATTACTTTATAAAAATGGCTTAAAGAATTCAGTGTCCTTCATGAGGAAATTCACCCTGTTTAATACAATTTAATTGTTGTACAAGTACAAAAGGATAAACCAGTTCTATGGTTCTTGATTCATTTGACATTGTTCTTACTGAGCACAACACTGCAACTTTACACAGGTTACATATACATTCAATACTAGAGGGTGAAGCCTGATTAATACAACATTCTAGATTATAACAATTTGTCATAAAAACGGAGAGTTTGGATTGGGCATTGTGAATTATCTGTATCCAGCCATTTGGTTTGTAAGCCATATTTAATATTTAGTATGCTATGGAATTTACCGAATTTACTGTGGTTTGATAAAAATATGGTTTAGTAGACATGATTTAACATGCTATGAAAATTTCAAAAAGTCAGACTGATGAATTGCAAATAATAAAATCTTAGAACTACGAAAAAGGGTAACACAATCTTTGTACTTAACTAATTAGACAGCACTGGAATTCTAAAGACTAGGAAATATACCTGGACATTAAGTTTAACTATAACAGTAGTCTATACAGCCTATACATAATTTTTATTTTCTGAGGATTATTTTATAAGATTGCTCCATTATTCCTGTTAAGTTAAATTTTATGGAACACAAAAGAAAAACTGTGCCTGTGTATGTATCTAAGCTAGTTTTCCCAAATTAATGCACTGTGTGTATTGAATTGTAGGTCCCATTATCTGTAGCCAACATGGCAAACAGGTTTGAATGGAGCTGAATTGGAAATTATTTTTATATATCAATCAATTTCTGATGCAACACTTAAAATACTAATTGAAAATTCTGAATGTAACAAATCAACATATTAGGTATTCTGCTTAAGGAAAATACAAATTCACAGCAAATTTTGCTTTCTTGTTTTTCGTGCTATGTATGCAAACAAGAAAACATATTTGCCTGCACTTACTGCTACTTATCCAATCTATAAAAAAGCCAATGGGGTAACTTTTAATTTTAGTTTTCAATTTTTGTATGAAATAAAATAACAGTTTTAGTGAATTTTCCTCAACCATAGAAGCCCATAAAAATAAGATATCATTTTATCTATAAAACAGTATACCAATATACCAAAAATAACAGTAGCAAAATATATATATCTTTTTGTTTTCTAATTTATAAGTATAGTGCCAGCAACAGTCAATTTCAAATTCAAAAATGCGAAGCTGATTTTTTCTTGGTTTGAATGAACAAAATACAAAAAAACAAAAAGAGTACCCAAAATTATAAAAGGGGAGGAACATGCAAGACATATGTGAAGAATAACACAGAGCACATAGACAAGTTCTGTGGCATCACACACTGGACGAGTTTGGAGCTCATTTCCTCATGCCTGTCAACTCTTCCATTCAGTCAGGAAAAAAAGGAAGTACTATAATATGATGCCTCCCACTCCAAATCTCACAGAGTATACCAGAAGGATATAATGGTCTATTGCAGTGTTCTTTAAACACATTGCTTTCAGGATCCCTCCTCCCACTTGTAAATTTTATGGATGACCCAAAAGAGCTTTTATTTATATGGGTTATATCAGTGGTTCTCCACTTTTTTAATGCCGCGACCCCCAACCGGTCATAAGTCAAGGACTACTCAACTGGTCATAAGTCGAGGACGACTCAACTGGTGCAGCACCGTTTGCAGAATGGGACTTTTGGCGGGCTCAGCAGGGCAGAGACAGCCTGGACAATTCCAATGGCTTTTGAAAGCCAATAGAATTAGACTCTATTCAAGAAAGTCTATTCTATTGGCTTTCAAAAGCCAATAGAATAAAAGGGAGTAGCACAGCTTAGGAAAAGGGGAAATAAATGGCGGACTGCATTGTTTGGCGACCCCTGTGAAATGGTCGTTCGACCCCAAATGGGGTCCCGACCCACAGGTTGAGAACCACTGGGTTATATTTATCAATATTCTCCATATTAAAAATTAAAATTGATGCATTCGTGGAATATGTATTGAATTATGGAAAACAATATTAAGCCCATTAGATAATATCAAAATATTTTTCATGAAAAAATCCTATCTTTTTATTAGAAATTAAGAGTAATGTTTTAAATTTTAAAAAATATCTTTAATATCTGGCAAATAATTTCAATTTTGTAGACTATTGTGAGAGTCTTGGCCTGAGACCTCTAATAAGAACTATAGAGGTAGATTTCTCCTCATTTCAATCCCCAAAAGTAATCATCCAGAATGATTAGAAGGGATTACTGTGTGGCAAAAATGAAAAGAAATAAGGAATACTGCTTAGCAACATACTCTTTTGTTTCTTCCTCAAATTATATAGATGGATTTTTAAAACAAAAAAAAAATAAGGGCTGTTTAAAACTAATTATAGGTGAAATGAAAATTCAGATATCATTGTATTGGGTCCAGTATGGCAGAGATTCAGCTTGCTTGCATTCAGATTCCATGCTTCAAAATAGGACCTGCACTAAAGATTAATGTAACCAAAGCATTCTCAGAATCATTTTTTGAAATCTTTTTGAAACTTAGAATTTGTAGTTAATTTCCAATCTGTTTATCCAGTTATGAACATTATCACCAGTTGATCTTCAGATATCTATAAATAGTTTGGAGTTTCTAAATCTTTCTGAAAATGTTGGGATAATTTTTATCTTGAATTTTAAAATGGTTTATCCTTCCTTCCTTCCTTCCTTCCTTCCTTCCTTCCTTCCTTCCTTCCTTCCTTCCTTCCTTCCTTCCTTCCTTCCTTCCTTCCTTCCTTCCTTCCTTCCAAATTTAATTTATATACAATTAATTAACAATATTTAACACAATAAAGCAATATTTAAACTTAAAGAAAAAATAATAGAAATCAGAGGTAAAGAAAAAAAGGAAAATATATTTTACATATATTATCTTAAGTAACCAGCATAATTATATAATTATGCTGGTTACTTAACAACTGATCCTTATTTTTTATAAGGCTTAATTTAATCATATATACAAGTTCAATATAGCTTAATTTTTTTAAAATACACAATCTTCAGTGGAATTGAGCATTAACCATTGTTTATTTTTCTAGAATTTCTTGAAGTTGGGAAGAAACAACCTGCTCTTGATGTTCTATATGATGTTATGAAAAGTAAAAAACACCGAACATGGCAAAAGATCCACGAACCAATTATGCTAAAATACTTAGAGTTGTGTGTGGACCTTCGGAAGAGCCACCTGGCAAAGGAAGGATTATATCAATACAAGAATATATGCCAGCAGGTAGAAACTTTTAAAGTTTAATCATACTAATAATTGGAAATTAAATAATCAGCATTTTAATAACAAATGCATGTAGAGATTCTGGAACATACATTTCTTGGTAACCTATTACACGATACAATTATTTGAAGAATAACTTGTTAGGACTCATCTAGGTAGATGTGCTTCATATTATAACTGGTTTTTGTTGTTAATAGGTTTCTTTGGAACCCGAATAATCATATTTATTGCTATATGAAGTTAATATATTTTATTCAAATTTGAATTTTCTACATAGATTTTGTCCCTGATTAAGAAAAGCTCCTTTAGCTCTTCTGATTTTGATACAGGTAAATATTAAGTCCTTGGAGGATGTAGTACGAGCTTATTTAAAACTAGCAGAAGAAAAAACTGAAGCTGCTAAAGAAGAATCTCAACAGATGGTCCTAGATATAGAAGATCTTGATAATATTCAGACTCCAGAAAGGTAAAAGTGATGCTTACCTTTGATTACATTAATTTGGTTCATGTTAAATGTATTTATTTTTAAATGATCCTACTTATTTGTGATCTGGTTCCCTCACATGAAAGCCTTTACCAAACTGAATCTTTTTTGGATTAGTCTGTGTGTCAGATTGTATTTTAGCATTTTAGTTTTGAGTCATGACAATTTTACATCTGTTCTCCCCAAAATTTGCATTATAAGTCCTTCATAGATATATTTGACTGCACTGTAATTTTTCTTGATTTTCACTTGATCTGTTGTAACAAGCAAGAATAATGTGATAAAATATTATACAATTATGTAATATAAAATACTCTTTGTTTCTTAGTGTTCTCTTAAGTGCTGTAAGTGGGGAAGATACCCAAGATCGTACTGATCGGTTACTTTTGACTCCATGGGTTAAGTTTCTGTGGGAATCATACAGGCAGTGTTTGGATCTTCTCAGAAACAATTCCAGAGTAGAGAGACTCTATCATGATATTGCCCAACAAGGTAACGTTTAAACTTTACAGTATCTCTATGTAATATATATGTGATTGTTATTCAACTTCTGATAGAATGACCTTTTTTTTTCTTTTAAACAATAAATTATAATCTTTTCCTGATAAATATTTTAATAATTCAAGAAAAATCTAGCTTTTCATTAAGAGAATATGTGGAACAAATAACTCTCTCCAGGTGGTTGATGTCAGTAATATTTTTAGCATGTTCATAAGTGCTAAAATATAAATTTAAAATAATTTAATCTTGCAGCTTTCAAGTTCTGTTTGCAATATACTCGTAAGGCTGAATTTCGTAAACTCTGTGACAATTTAAGAATGCATTTGGGTCAAATTCAGCGTCATCACAATCAAAGTACAGCAATCAACCTCAATAATCCAGAAAGTCAGTCAATGCATTTGGAAACTAGGCTTGTACAATTGGACAGTGCTATCAGCATGGAGTTGTGGCAGGTACATACTTAATACAATATCAAACCATTGTAATATTTCTTCACTTTCTGTCTTCATTTAACTTTAAATTCCATTTTATGCGTTGAGACATTTTAGTCAGCTAATGAAATTGCTTTACAATCCACTCCTGTTCTACTTAATGATTAGGATTGATCTGAGACAAATTCAGGTGCCTTACTAAGATATATATCCAGATTTAGCATGTGCATCTTTTCCCAAAAGTAGACTCTGGAAACGAAGCAGAGTCATTTTCAATACAAGGGTTGTTTAAATTGCTCAAAATGTAAATCCAGAAGACATGGCTTTCTAAGGCAAAGGAAAAAAGCTGTGAAAGGAACGAGAGGAGAAAGGATGATGGAGACAAATTTCAGAGAACGAGGAAGGTGAAGGAGGATTCGGAAGATGACTGGGGAAGAGATCACAGTGATGGAAACTAAAATACAAAGAAAGCAGTAGGCAGGCTCCCAGCTTACTGAAGCAGAATCATTGTAGAAGTTAGGAGCTGCTCAGAAAACTTCAATGTAGAGACAGAGTAACTTCTGTAAGGGGAAAAAAAGAACCCTAGACAATGGGCAGGAGAAGATTGTTGCAAATTATCTGGAGGGTTGAGAGACAGCGTTTAGAAGCATTAGGATTTTTAAGGCCAGTTCTTATCCTCTCAAAACCAAAGAGTATTTGATGCCTTGGGAGATATCTTCTGTCCTACTTAGCTTACACTTACAGCTCCCTCTAAAAAAGTTAAACAGTCCCAATTCTGTTGTAGTGCTCCAACCATCTTCCTTCTAGGACTTCTGCCTGATAGCGTGGAGATATTCTGAACTCTAATTGCATTTCTTTTTTATTTGTATCCCGCCTTTATTATTTTTATGAATAACTCAAGGTGGCAAACATCAACACCTCTTCCTCCTGTTTTTCCCAAAACAACAACCCTGTGAGGTAAATTGTGCTGAGAAGAGAGAGTGATTGGCCCAAGATCAGCCAACTGGCTTTTGTGGCTGAGGCAGGGCTAGAACTCGTGGTCTCCCTGTTTGCAGCCTGATACCTGAATCACTAGACCGAGGGGTAGGCTTGGCTCTTTTATGACTCGTGGACTTCTGGGTATGACTCGTGGACTTCAACTCCCAGAATTCCTGAGGCAGCCATGCTGAGGGGAAAGGGAGAGGTTGCCATGCTGAGCCATGCTGCCTCAAGAATTCTGGGAGTTGAAGTCCATGAGTCATAAAAGAGCCAAGGTTGCCTACCCCTGCACTAGACCAGAGTGGCTCTATTCAGTTGAATATTGTGAGAGTGTATAATATATTTCCCAGTTTAAGGTTGGGGATTCTTTCCTAACCAATAATGAGTGAAATTTGTTTTGCCTTTATCAACCGATAAGACAGTGATAGGGGATGAATTAATTCCATAGGTGCAAAGCAGATTTGATAAAACAGTACTAAAAGTAAATGGATGTACAATTTATTTGTAATCTAATGTTTAGATCCAAGTAGTAACAATAAACACATGTGTATTAAATAGGTCTAGATTTCAGTGTGATATTCCTTAAATTTTTCCCTTGTGGTAATTTAACATTTTGTTTTGTTTTTAGGAAGCTTTTAAAGCTGTGGAAGATATACATGGGCTATTTTCCTTATCCAAAAAGCCACCAAAGCCCCAGCTGATGGCAAATTATTACCACAAAGTTTCTACTGTATTTTGGAAATCAGGAAATGCACTCTTTCATGCATCTACTCTTCATCGTCTTTATCATCTTTCAAGAGAAATGCGAAAAAATCTCACACAAGAGGAAATGCAGAGGTGGGAAAAATCCATGGCTTGGAGCAATTTTGTCTTTGGAATCATTAATAGAGTTTTGAACTTCTATTTAGCTATATTCAGTATTATTTCAGTGGACTTTATAAAACAATGGAATTTTTCCTGCTCTGTACCTTGCATATACCTAATGTTTCTCAGGAAGGTCCGAAAGACAAAAGGGAGTATGGCTGGAGGAGAGAAATAAATAGATTATGCTGATAAATGCATGCTATTGGCATAATGAATGCACTGTTTTAGCTAAAGAAATATAGAGGTAGGAGAGTGGAAGATGCTTTTTTAACTGTTTAAATATAAACAATAGGGATCCTATTCCAAATCATCTTGTTTCTCTTGTCCGTAGGATGTCAACAAGAGTACTTTTGGCTACTCTGTCAATTCCAATAACTCCTGAACGAACAGACATTGCTCGGCTTTTGGATATGGATGGCATAATTGTTGAAAAGCAACGTCGATTGGCAACATTGTTAGGACTTCAGGCTCCACCTACTCGGATTTCTCTTATTAATGATATGGTAAATACTTTCCATAAACATGTTTATGTTGCTAGTTTATGTTATGCAGACTTTATTTGCATCAAGTGACATTTTAGCCCTTCCAGCATATAGAGATGTTACTTGTAAATTAGAATATGCTTAATATAGATACCAGTGTATTATAATCTTTAAGTATTAAAATGTGCTTGCATGTGTATGAGACCCCACCTGAGAAAAGTAATTGGTGTTAACAATTGTTTTTATTTCGTGTTTTATAGGTGAGATTTAATGTAGTTCAGTACGTTGTCCCAGAGGTAAAAGAGCTTTATAACTGGCTTGAAGTAGATTTTCATCCACTGAAGTTATGTGGCCGTGTATGCAAGGTAAGATTTTGAGACAGATGCCAATACAAATGATAGTTTATAGTAAATGAGCTTTTTATTAAGTTGAACTGTGAAAAGATATGTTATATCTTGATTATTTTGTGAACATTTTTTCTTATTGTTTTACTTATATAGCTTCCCATCTCACAACAGTGAATCGGGGCTAAGTCCCATGTTGATCCTATATATTTATATTGCTTGATAGGAGATTTTCTTTTAAAAAGTCTATAAATGAAACAGTCTTTATTGTTGCCAATTCTTTAATAAGTTTTCTTTCTAATAAACTATATTTTAAAAATTATACATAGTATTCAGAAGTGTTTATTAATTAATGAAATGTTAAACGATTTTGTATTTACCCAGTTGGTACTGAATCAAACAGCAAGTCTTTAATTCTTCACTTTATTGATAGATAATGATGTAGGAAAAACTATTGCAAGATTTTATGTTTCAATACTATTCATGGAAATAGCAGTTATCTTTTGTTCAGCAGTATACTTCTGACATCTAGAATTCCTTCACAATTACAAAATATAGCATATTTCTGTTTTTTTAACATTTATTAAATAATAGATGATGGTTAATTAACATATCATATATTGTCATTGCCAATAATAATTAAACATTTTAACTTGATAAATGCTTGTTGAAATAGTGAAATGATTATTAGCACTGAACAAATTAATATTTGTGACCTTAAGTGCTTCTTTTCCTAGAAAATGCTATGCATATTTTTCAGTGATTTTTATTTCTAGGCGTGTTCCTATATATTACTGAGAGAGCAGTTGTAGCATATCAAGTGAGAAGAAGTGCATCATTCATATATGTATCATTTGCGCTGTGTGTGTGTGTGTGTGTGTGTGTGTTTGTGTGTGAGAGAGAGAGAGAGAGAGAGAGAATATGATACATGTACTGCATGAATGATACATTGATGAAGATGTACAGATTTTTTACCTTCATTGTAATATGAGTGCATTATTGGAAAGAAATAGTTTGAGCAATAAATCAACCCTACTACCATTTACTGATGTACTGATTCTGTGCAGGTTTTAAACTGGGTAAGAGATCAATCTGAGAAAGAGCCAGAATTGCAATTATATATTCCTCATCTGCAAAACAACACCATCCTTAGACTACTTCAGCAGGTATGGTTCTAAAACAATACTTTAAAATATTGAATTCTAATTGTAAATTTTTTCACTATGCATCTTTAATATTTAGTATTATTGATTTATCTATCTGAAAGCATTAAAGGTCTTTTGATTCTAAAGCACATATCATTGACCTGCTTCCTTTGCACTGGTAAGCAGTGTTATTTCTGGTGTGCTAAAGGGAGATTGTGAAGGCTAATTAGCAGCTTTGCTTCATTTAGAATTGCTGCCAGTCTCCTTCATACAGGGTTGCTGCTCAAAATAGTGAAAGTTTTTTTTTGAATAAATGGTAATTGTTAATAGCAAACACTATATTTGAATAATTATTGTTGATCTTGAAATTCTTAAAGTTGATTGAGTTCTTTAAAAAATTTGAGTGTTAGGAACTGGTATGATTTATTGGAAAGAGATGAATATTTCTGTATTTTTTGCAGGTGGCTCAGATTTATCAAAGCATTGAATTTACTCGCCTGACTACTTTGGTTCCTTTTGTGGATGCTTTCCAACTAGAACGTGCCATTGTTGATGCAGCCAGACACTGTGATTTACAAGTAAGTGATATGGATAAGTGTCAGATATTTCTGCATATTTATGTTTTTCTTTAAATCTGAATTTTTCATTATTAAAAACTGAAAATAGCAGGTATACATCTTACTGTCAGCCCTCCCAGGTAAACCAGACAGGAAACATAAGATAGGATGAGGTAATTCTATTTTATTAAAAGGCTATGTTAACAGAATCTTGCAAGTCTGAAAATACAAATCTTGTCCCATCACTTTTAGCTATCTGATCAGTTAGGGTGGGTCTTTCCTAAATTTCTTCCTCTGATCTTCAGCAGTTGAGGGCTACCACTTCTATCTGATAATTTCATACACAGCATCTCTCCCCCTCATTCATCAAGGTCATTCTCACATACCTTTATTCTTATGGAACCCAAACAAGCAGTTTCAATATATTTTGCTTAAGTAAAAGAAGGTATAAAGTAAAAGCTATCACTCTGAATTACCTTCTGCATACTAAAGAGTGAAAAACTCTGCTGGATAATCCAAACGAGTATATTTCCCAATTACTGATATTTAGAGGTATAAATGAACATAACCATAATATCTCACTGAACAAACTTTATTTTTAACTCCTTATTTCTGGTAGCATATTGTTAGTTGGTTAAATAGAGAGACATTAACCTTGCCAAAAAATGAATTTGTTGGCGAAGGTAGAATGCTTCATCTTAGATGACTTGACATGCAGGTATATTTAAAAGCAGAATACAATTTTATTTTAAAATAACTTTGGATGACAAAAAATTAGAACAGAATATACTGGTTTTGAAATGAATTCTTAACATTCTAAATGTTTTAAGTGCAGTAATATAGCAATAGCCCTTAGACTTATATAGTGCTTCACAGTGCTTAGTCCTCTCTAAGCGGTTTACATAGTCACAATCTGGGTCCTCCTTTTACTGATCTCAGAAGGATGGAAGGCTGAGTCAACCTTGAGCCGGAGAGAATCAAGCTGCCGAACTTGGCAGTAGGCAATTAGCATACTTAGTCTGCAATACTGCATTCTAACCATTGTGCCACCACGGGTCTTAACATAATAACAGTGGGTCAGTGCAAAGGGATTATATCAGGCATGTCAAACTTGTGATGTCGTGTGACGTTGCGTGACATTTCACGACTTTTTCCCCATTGCTGGCAATGGGGTGGGCATGGTTTCGGCGTGACGCATCTGGCCCACAGGCTGGCAGTTTGACATGCCTGGATTATATGAATACACTGTAAGCAATTATTACTGAGTTTTTGACTTACTGATTTTTACTGACTTTACTTTTTAAAGGTTCGCATTGATCATACCACCCGAACATTAAGTTTTGGGTCCGATTTAAACTATTGCACCCGAGAAGATGCTCCTCTTGGACCTCAGCTGCAGAGCATGCCCTCTGAGCAGATTAGGAACCAGCTGACAGCCATGTCATCTGCACTTGCAAAGGCTCTAGAATTTATTAAGCCACCTCATATATTGGTAAATCATAGTTTTTGGTTTGGTTTTTAAAAGTATTGTGTATCTTGGGGAAGCTTCGGTGTGCTCAGTTATAACTAAAGTGCTTCTTTTCTTCTGATTCATATTTCTTATTTCTCATGGGGTCCTTCCTATGATTCTAGTCCTGGATAGAAGGAAGTGAATTACCAATAATCTTTTGGTCAATAAAACTACCAATTGAGTCAATAAAAGTTTTATATTTTAGTAAAGGATAGTGGCTGCCTGAGTGAATCTGAGGACAGCTTCATTGTACTTTCAGAGTTCAGGCCAACATAAAGAGTCAAAAGGTCAGTGAAAGTTCTCATTCTTACACAGAAAGTTTTTGGGTTACAATTGCAGTTAGGATCAGGATTGCCATTGCTAAGCAATGTGGTCATAAAAGTATGATGTCATGGGGCAACATCGCTTAGCGATAGCAGTCCCAAGCAGAAACTGGTTGCCATTGTAACCCCCAAATGTGTGGGGAGAAACTGAAGTATCCCACTTGCAGGTCAGTGATCAAAGAGTGAAGCTACTATCTCAGGCATTAATACAGAATTTCATAGATCAGATTGCTGATTTTCAAAACGTTACTGTATTTTCACTCCCAGAAGGAAGAGGAAAATAATAGGTTTTCTGCCTAGAATGTCCAAATAAGTTACCTTAACTGTAAGTTGGTTGGCAATAGACAGACATGGAGTGTTATTTGCTATTCTACTTCAGGCAACAAAATACTTGTGGCCTTTGGGGGGGGGGGAGGAATGTAGAAGAATAATGATCTAGAGCAACTACAGGCAGTCCTTGGCAACCATTTGTTTAGCGACCGTTCAAAGTTACCACGGCAGGAAAAAATGACTTACGACCATTTTTCAAACTTACAACCATTGCGGCATCCAGAGTTCTCCAAAATGTAATTGGTAGACCTATCTCTAAAAGAATCAAGAACTACACAGTAGAGAAGAGTTAATTCTTATTGGTACACTAATCAATGTGTACAGTAAAATATATCATGAATGACTAATATTTATTTGCATATTTGCAATGAATTTCCTAAAAGCTTTCAGTTAGTTTTTTTCTTTGATGGGCATATTTGGAATTGTAAGAAATTTTCTCAGGAATTTTGCAAAGGTCTACTGAATGGTTGTCCCACAGCTGTTTTAGAGTTCCATTTTATTGGAATTCTGTCAGCCATCCTCTTTCTACAGGATACTCTTTACCACTTTTGCTAAACTTTGTTGTTTTTCTAATCTTTTCTGCTGATCTAAATAAATAGTATTGTTCTGAAATTTGATAATGTAATTGTCTCATAGCATTTGAATTCAAAAATAATTTTGTTATGTTAACCTTTATTCAGCTAGAAAAGGAAGAACAACATCAACAGGCAGTTACAGCTTACTTAAAAAATGCAAAGAAAGAACATCAGCGTATCCTTGCTCGCAGGCAAACTATTGAAGAAAGAAAGGAACGTCTTGAGAGTTTGAACATTCAGCGTGAAAAGGAAGAGCTGGAGCAGCGTGAAGCTGAACTCCAAAAAGTTCGCAAAGCTGAAGAAGAGAGACTGCGCCAGGAGGCAAAAGAGCGTGAAAAAGAGCGCATTCTGCAGGAACATGAGCAAATTAAAAAGAAAACTGTTCGTGAACGTTTGGAGCAGATTAAGAAGACAGAGTTGGGAGCCAAGGCCTTCAAAGATATTGATATTGAGGTAAGGAGGGTTATTTCTGTGTGGTAATCTGTTATTTTTTAATTTATGGCCTGGCCTCCTGGTAAGGGGAAATTTTTTGAACAAGTGAAAATAATGATGCACAGTCTATGCCATGCTGCCTGAAATCTTTTCAGGTAGGAATAAAAGGATTATAACTCAAAGCAAGTTTTCTGTTCCCACTGTGCTAACATGAAGATCTTTAGTTTGGGATTTCAGATTTGTGTTATTCCAGCATTCATTCCTGATTCTTCCTAAAGTGTGTATTCCCAGTTAAACCACTCACTGGCTTGTCTTCCATCTTGTCTGAATTAGGTTTCCTAACATTAATGTGTTTTCCCCAATGTGACTTAAAGTACTACTTTCTATGATATTAAAATAATTGATAAGCAGTGCTTTTTTTGTAAAAAATAAGGTGCCGGAACTCACACATGTCATACAACCCGCCTTGCCTACCCTACAAGGTTCCATCCAAAAAAGGTGCCGGAACTCCGTTCTGGGCGTTCTATGACAAAAAAAGCCCCGTTGATAAGTATACTTAATGTTTAAAGAAAAACAGAGTAAATGTATTGTGGGAAATACAGTGTATTTAAACTATAGAAATGTTTTCATCACCTTTAGAAATCTTTATGTTTTAATACTTAACTATTTGTAGGATCTTGAAGAATTGGATCCAGACTTCATTATGGCAAAACAGGTTGAACAGCTTGAAAAAGAAAAGAAGGAATTGCAAGAGCGTCTGAAGAATCAGGAGAAAAAGGTAAAAGAAAAGCCAGTGTGGATGTAGGCAGAAACAACAGCCCTTACAAATGTGTTTGTTTTCTCAACTTTTAAAATATTAAATCAACTTTATTTTAAAATCTAGATTGACCATTTTGAAAGAGCAAAACGTTTAGAAGAAATTCCACTGATTAAGACTGCCTATGAAGAACAAAGAATCAGAGATATGGATCTTTGGGAACAACAAGAAGAAGAAAGGGTAAGATTTTGGAGAGCTTGCTTATTTGAGAAGCAATTTTTGTTAATATTATTTTTCTAGTAACTTTCAATTCAAGTTAATTTGCTTGTCCACTAGCAACAAAATCATTATTGTTAAGTATTGGGAAATTCCAAGTCTCTTGTAGACTTTTGAATTTTGTTACCACAGAATGTATATCTTCCACCAAAATAAATTATGCAATCTGTAAGTAAATTTATTTAATTGCTCTAAAGTTTCTCCAATTGTATAATGGCTAAAATTTTGTACTTAATGCAAAATCATGACTGTCCTTGACTTATAGTCCTTGACTTATGATCACAATTGGGACTGGAACGTCTTGCTAAGGGATATAGTTAAGTTTGCTGATGTTATGACATTTTGCTGCATTCATTAAGCAAATCCAGCTTCCCTATTGACTTTGCTTGTTGGAAGCCCCCTGGGAAGTCACAAATTGCAATCTCGGGACCCAGGATTCTGCAACCATTGTAAATGCATGTTGGTTGCCAAGCACCTGTAATTTAATCGTGATCATGGAGTGACTGCAATGGTCATAAAATGGACTGGCTTTTTTCAGTGTCGTCATAACTTTGAATGATTGTTAAAGAAATAATCATAAGTCAAGGACTTATGTAACAGGCCCCTCAATGTTTTCTTCAGTGTGAAACTAGTCTGCTAAATTTTAGGCATTGGAACCCGAACACCATATACAGCATATATTGATTTGATGCATGTGTTACAGATCACCACCATGCAACTGGAACGTGAAAAGGCGCTTGAGCATAAGAATAGAATGTCACGGATGTTAGAAGAGAGTGAATTGTTTATAACTAGGCTCAAGACTGCAAGGAGATCAGTTTATGAGGTACATTTAATTTTTTGCTAACTATAATCCTACATATGGTATCTTTTAATACAGTCATAAATTAGAATGGGCAGGCAGTTTCTTAAAAAAATCAGAACCATGTTTGATATTTAGGGCATTAGCTCAGCCCAAAATTTGCTAAGGTTGCCTCCAACATTCCCTGTTTATATTTTGTGAGTGTTTTCTGTATGTCTGATAAAATTCAGAAGAATGTGCAACTGTTAAAAAAAAATGCCCAGAGTTATCTTGAGGTAAGATGGGTGATCAATAAATAGTAAACAAATAGATGAATCTTTCCAGCAGTAGAACAATTCTGCATTGATTGGATTAAGTATAAATTAAAATGATGGGTTTTGACAGACTTTCAAAATTCTCTTATAGTACTACATTCTCAGATTGCTGTTTTTTGACCTTGTCTGCCTTTAAAGGTTAGCAGAAAGGTTCCTCAATTCACTTTCTTACCCTGCAGATGTGATTGCTCCTTGAGATGGGGCAGCAGCTTGGAAAGCTACATTCAGTTCTTGGATTGTACCACCTATACTTGAAATCTATTTTATATACTGCCTGGCAACAAGAAAGACATGAATATTACTTATAAAATCAGCATGTGTTTGCTTTGTGTGGACAGTTGTTCATAGTATGTCTATCTACGTTTTGCTGTTTGTTGCAAGAATGTAAACAGCACTTGTTTTTCTTGTTTGGCTTTGTATAACTAGCTCTCCAAGTGAATAGATTCCTAGTGTGTTTTTATCATCATCTGCAAAGCTAGAAAGTAATTTGGCATACATCCATATTTGACCTTCTGTATGCTGCTCGTACTATTTCTGTAGTTCTAGATTAAGTATTGTTGTTTCAGGAAAAACTTAAACAATTCCAAGAAAGATTAGCAGAGGAAAGAAGTAATCGTTTAGAGGAACGTAAGAGACAGCGCAAAGAAGAAAGACGCATTACTTACTATCGTGAGAAGGAGGAGGAAGAACAAAGATTGCAAGAGGAAAAGATGCTGAAAGGTAAATGCTTGAAAGGTTCTTCCTAAAGTAACACTTCATCTTGATCTTCTATTTATACAGATCTTATATTTCTTAATAGTAATTTTGCATGTCTGGATAGATGTGTGTCATGGCAGCTACTAGAAATAGACATTTGTTCAAGTTATCTCGCAAATCAAAATAGAGGTAGTCTTTGCTTTACTACGATTTGTTTAGTGATTGTTCAAAATTTTAATGGTGCTAAAAAAAGTGACTTACAACTGGTCCTCGTACTTATGGCCCTTACAGAGTCCCCGTAGCCACCTAATTGCAATATAGGTTCTTGGCAACCATTGCACGTTTGCAATGGTCCCAGTGTCCGTGATCACGTGATTGTCGTTTGTAGTCTTCCCAGCTGGCTTCTGACCAGGTCAATGGGGAGAGGCCAGCAAGAGTTTCAAATCATGGTCATGTAATGTCTCACTTAAGATCTGTTTCAGATAGAAAAGGTGTTGCCACTCCCATTAGATTCATTAAGATGGACCACCTGTACTGTGATTTACCAACATTTACTGAATTGCAATGCATATGTACTATCGTACAGAGTATATTAGTGCCCATCATAGAGCAGGTACTGAGTTAAGCATACCTGACTTCTGGACAACCCTTTCTTGTGAATGGGCTCTTACTACTACAGAAAAGCAGATAGAGTTCTCCTTTCTTGAGCCAGACAACAGTTGAAGCCACACTTTGTTTTTATGAACCTCTGAAACCATGCGTTTTTAACATACAGCCTTTTTTTCAATGGTTCATGAAAACATTGTGTGCCTTTAACGGTTAGTTGGCTCGAGGAAGGAGAACAGTGTCTGCCATTTTTAGTCACAGGTAGCCCATTTGTAAGTGCAAGTTCCGACTTACATACAAATTTGAGTTAAAGACAGCTAGAAATGGAACTTGTTCTTTACCTGGGGAGTGTCCCTATTTTGCTCAAATGTTCCTACTGAATTACTTGGGAAATATGTATATAAAATTGTTACAGTAGAGGTGCCATTAAAATATATTAGGGTGAATTGCAGATAGTAGCAAATATTTTCTTGCTTCCCCCCCCTTTTTAAAACTACAAAATGAATTAACATGGGCTAGATTTAGATTGAGCCACATATCCTTAACTGTTACTTACAAAATTGAATTTATTAAAGCTAACTTTCAAGCTGTCCAAGTGTGAAATGATGTTCAAATGAATACATTTGAAGATGAAATACTCATTTTTTAATCCAAAATGGGAAGTTCACTTTATTATTTTTATGATTGTTTGGGCAGAACAAGAAGAGAAAGAACGTGTTGAACGTGAAAAACGTGAACAAGAAATGCGTGAATATCAGGAACGTGTTAAAAAACTGGAAGAGGTAGAAAGAAAGAAACGTCAAAGGGAATTAGAAATTGAAGAGCGGGAGCGTCGTCGCGAAGAGGAGAGGCGGAATCTTGACGATTCACTTTCACGGAAGGTAAATAATTCTAACGACGGGGATAATTTGGGGGAAAGCACGTACCAACCATATAAATCTTACACTCAAGGAATATATTTCCAGCTCAAATTTTAAGATACGGCTTCTATGTGCTCTTTAAACCTTAGCTTACTTTACAAATGTATTGATACAATTTAAATTTATGAAGGATTATTCAAAATTTTATAAGATAGATAGATAGATAGATAGATAGATAGATAGATAGTATTTTATATTTTCTGTTGTTGATTTAAACAAAGATGTTATACAGTACATTGGTACATTGACTTTGCTTATCAGAAATTGGGAAGGTCACAAATGGCAATTGTGACTGTGAGATGCTGTGACGGTCATAAATAAACTCTGGCCAAGTGCCAGAGTTGTGATTACACAATCACATGTAATCATGTGATTGTCATTAGGATCAGTTATCAGTTAATTTTTTCAGTGTGTTGTTGACAATGTAATTAGATAGCTAATAAAATGTTGGAAATGTAATAAAACCTTGGAAAAAATAATCATATGGGTCTAAGCTAAATAAAAATAAAAAGATTGTATTGAAAAGTTGGAAAAGACGCATCAATTTTTAAAAAGCAAGGATTTTTGAGAAAATATCGTCAATAGCATTACATGGAGCCCATTCAAAAAATAGCTTTTGCTCTTGAAACCAAGATAAAAAAATTTAAGCATAAAAATCCATTTTTTCATAATACATTCCATTATTTCTTCCTTATTTTTCATTTTCTAATCTGAATCTTTGTTTCATTTGAAATGTCTTATTACAGAAATGATGGTTTCTCTTATATCTACATTTTATACCATTTCAGAGATGAATTTGAAATATCGTACACATTACTGAGGGATGAGTGTACTGTGCCATGGGGAACTACTATTCTCTGTTCCCCCTTTCCCTTTTGTTAAGTAATAAGTAATAATTGAGATCCCACATTTATTAAGTTTAACTTTTTAGATTTAGTTTTCAGATATGAACCACCACGATTACCAATGTTGAAAGACCCCATGGTCTTTCAAGAAAACTGGAACAATGTAGAACAAGAGACAACCAGTTCAGCTCTCCGGAATGAGTTACAGGTTGCTCTGTGGAGTCTTCTGCTTAGGAAAGAAAAAAAAAAAAGATTTCTAAAAAGAGGGGATAATATAGAATGCCTCCCTTCACTTTTGTATTTAAACGCACCCATTCTTTGTTTCTTTATATTGGCTTCATCCTTCAGAGATGAAGTCCTTGATAGAAAATTGATTGTCTCCTCCGGCCATAACATGTCCTTTAAATTTGCGAACTAGCTAGAAGTAGATTGTGCTTCTGAAACCAATGATAGACTCTGTCTGTGCTTTTAAAAAAACGTTTGTGATAATTGAAATTAAAATAAGTATTCCTAATCATGTTGATACTATCCTAAGGTTTTTTATTGTGTTTAAATATAGGAATCACGCTGGGGTGATAGAGAAAATGAAGGTGTTTGGAGAAGAACTACTGATCAGGAATCGGAGTGGAGACGTCCCCCAGAAAGGTATCTTATAGAATAATGCTTAAGCAATCTGTGATAGGTTTCTTTTCTGATTTTGCAAGAATGTACATTGTCATCCAAAGAACATTGACTGGATATGGAATAATTTCAGTGGCAGTTAATACCACGTTATCAGGATTCATTAGATGTTCCAGAACATTCTTGCAAACCTTAATAATCTTAGTGAAGATTCTCTTTCTGTACAATTAATTGGTCATCTAAATAATACCGTAGAACTATTAATATATTCAATAACCAAACTGAGTTTTGTGTACAACCATTTCAAGCAAATTGGCATATCTGACAAAGGCTTGTCCTATCTTTCTAGATTGGAATCATTTTACTAAATGCATGGCTATATTTGCATCCCTTTCTCCATAATTTCTCTCTGCCCTTTTATATTGCTTAGGTAGTTTAATATATTTAATTGTCAAGATCCTAAAAATATAGTTATTTTTTGTTATTTTATAATCTTAATTTTCCCCTTTCTCATTCATTTTCCATTCATGTATTTATCCATTCATTTCAATGCTTTTAATTAAAAGAAATTCCTGTTTTAACAGGAATAAGTGATTGATATTTTTCATTATAAAATCTTTAATATTTTTGTTTTTACTATATCAAAGTTTCTGTGCCTATATTTACTACCGTGTTTTCCTGAGAATAAGACCCGGTCCTTTTTTTTTTTTTTTGCATCCAAAAGAGGCACCGAGGGGGGGGGAGATGTTTTACCTATTTACCCGCTTACCTTAGGACTGCCACAGCCAGGCCTCCCATAACCTGACACCTGTCAGTCCGCTGCCTGTATTTTTTGGGGGCCGTTTACAGCCGCACTTGGTGCATCATGCCGGTGCTGCTGCTGGCGGCAAAAGGCTGTGTGGTTCGTTGCGTTGTGACAAGTGTCAGAGCGTGGGAGACCTGGCTACAGCGGTTCTAAGGTAAGCGGGTGTAGGGCACGTGGGGCAGCTCCACCCCACCCCCTTTCTAGCTTGATTTTTACATGTGCGCCTCACGCCAAAACTAGGATTTTGGGGGGGGGGTAGGGCTTATTTTCGGGGAAACATAGTAGATCTCTTGCCTAATAGAAACAACTTCTGTACAAGTTACTTTCATTTTCTAGTCTCAGAAGGGTCAGTGATAGCAATATACATACATAGGCTACTGCGTTTACAAGCAATACACACATTTGTTATAATAGATTTTTAGTTATCATAAGTAAGAATGTTGAATTTTGCTATACCCGGAATACTAGTTTACCCAATTTCATGTATTGAAAGCCTTTCCCTAAATATATTAGGTTTCTGCATGTATTCTGCAGCCTATTAATGGAGCATGCATTTTTAATATCCTTATCTTAACTTGGGGGGTGAATGTAGGAACCTGTTCTGATCTATAATGAGTTAAATAAAATATTTTGTTGCAGCTATGATTCTTTTTGATTTTATTGAGTTTTGGATTTTTGTGGACCCAGATAGGATTGAACATGAATTTTAGATCAGTAAATTAAGATTTATGGCACTTTCCTTCCCCAACTTAGTTCACTGGGTTAGTTTCAGTTCACTTTCCAGTTAAAATCTCCTCCCCTATGGCAGTTTTTTCTCTTTTAGTCAGCTGAGAAAAGAACCAAGTGGAAATGGTAAAGGGGGTTGCATAAATCTAAGGAGATGGATTGCCCATGGACAACAGGGTTAATACAAGTCTGGAATCCAAGAGGAAAGGAACCTGGACACATATTGATGAGCAACTTGTAGAAGATGCTGAACATGGTCCTTTTTTCCTGCCTAGGATTAGGCAGTGTATGAGTGCGGTGTAATTTTTTTGTTTATATCTGTCCTGATTAAGTTTCCTTTTGTGTCTGGGATGGCACAGTTGCAAGGATTGTTTGTCAATTGTTTCTGTTTCCTTCCTTTGTGCTTCCCTATATAACACCAACTCTGTGGAGATAATAGTGGCCACCATCTTGACATTCTTTCGTAAGGCCCTGAAGTCTTGGTTTTGTCAACTGACCTGGGGACCCTCAGAATAGGATGGAGCCGATCAACTGGCTTATTTGATTAATTGCTGTTGCCAGGGGAGTGGGGGAGGGTTAATGTTGGTTATTGTTTTTATTTTGTGTTTTTAGTCACTGAAATAGAGTTGTGTAGTAATATAAATTTTCTTATATAAATAAATAAAGCAAATGTGAGTAAACCTCTCCAAATGAAGCTGCATTCCAGCCTCTATTGGTTATCTGTGTTTTTTTTTATGCTCTGATTTGTATAACGTGCTGGCAGACTATTTCTTTGACATTGTTTTGGTATATTAAGAATGCCTCATCTGTTTAACATCTGCTATCCTCTTTATTTTAGAAAGTGGTCTAAAATCCCTAGTTTTGGCTATCGTGTACCTTGTTCCTTGAGAACATCTTTGGATACTCAGAACAGGCTTTTCATTATACATATTTCAGATAGGAATTCTCAAAATTACCACCTGTTCCAGCAAATATCCTCCTTTTCTGTTCAGATCTATACTTTTGACACTCTTCTATGTCTTGCTTTAATATCTGTAGGCTATTCTCCCAGTGATAATGATTTCCATTTTTATAGTTCATTTTTTCATTCATTCATTCAAAATATTTATATAGCCACCCATTAGTTGGTCTGATATGTGCTAGCCAGAAGTTTAGTACTAGTATGTTTGCTTCTAAGTCAGGGGTTCTCAACCTTGGCAACTTTAAGACTTGTGGACTTCAACTCCCTGCTGGCTGAGGAATTCTGGGAATTGAAGTCCACAAGTCTTAAAGTTGCCAAGGTTGAGAACCCCTGTTGTAAGTGCTAAAGAGTTTTCAAACTAGAATAAAACCAATGCAAAATGATGTCATTACTTGGCATCTGGGACAAATAAAATTAGTAGTACTGCAGCTCAATGCAAATCCAGTAAACATTAGCAAGTCAATGTGTATAATAGAATATCTGTTTCCCTATATAAATATTCTGGAACATTTGATTTAGAGTGCTCTGGTCGATTCTTTTTTCTTTTGTTGGCTAGTTTATACATACCTTAAAATTGAGTTGACTAATTTGATATTTTGATACGTTCACACTACTCATGTAGTAAGATCAAGTTGTATAGATAGTTCTGACAGAACAATGATTTGCCTTCTGATGTTGTGAGTATTCCAGCACTGCAAGTTTTTAAGAAGAGATTGGACAACCATTTGTCTAAAATGGTATAGGTTTCCTGCTTAAGCACGGTTTTAGACTAGAAGACCTCTAAGAGCCCTTCCAACTCTGTTATTATATTATTCCTTTATTTATGACCAAAATTGGGCTCAGAATTTTGGTTGTAAGTTAGAGCTGTTGTTAAGCAGGTCACCTCATTTTACAGCCATTTTTATGATTATAAAGTGAGTTAGTACAGTTGTTAAGTGAATCATGATGTTGTTAAGTGAATCTAGCATATCCAATAGGTGGTTTTTGCAGCTTTCTGCCAGAAAATGGCAAGAAAAGTAGTAAATTATGGTAATTGACTGTGGGATGCTACAACCAGTTTTAAATATGAGCCACTTGCCAAACACCCAAAATGTGGTCACATGACTGCAGGTGGTGGTGACATGGTCAGAAGTGCTTTATAGGCTGTAAAGGACACTTTCTGAGGTTGTCATAACTTCAAACAGTTGTTAAACTATTGGTCATTAAATGGAAACCACCTATATATGTATACAGAAAGTACTTTTATTTAAGTAATCATGTTTAACCTGAATATGACTCATGGTACCTAATTTGAGGTCCCTGTAAACTTTAGAGCAGAGGCCCCCAACCTTTTGGGCACCAGGGACCAGTTACGTGGAGAGAGGTTTTTCTGTGGACTGGAGGGGGTGTGGTTTTGTGTGCTGCCTGCATCCCACGGATGGGGCTTTGCTTATTTGTGAGGCCTGGTTGCTGGCATGCCATGGCCCAGTACTGGTCCACGGACTGGGGATTGGGGACCCCTGCTTTAGAGAGTAGTTTTGTTAATATTCCATTTCATGATATTGGGATTGAACAAATAACTTGCATTCTTTACATTTTGCTATTTATACTTATCCATGGAAATTTATGACTTCCTGATGTATGAATGCATGTATTAACAGAGTTGCTCACAGAATTTTTGAGATGAGAAATCATGTATAATTTATAGCCATGTAGTTGTAATTTAAAAGAGTAATCCAGTTATTGGGTTTTGGACATCTGAAAACATAATTCTGCCTTTGTTTTACTAGAGAGTGGCGGCGTGGGGAAGTACGTGACGATGAAAAATCTTTACGAAAAGATGATGTGACTAAGTCTACTACTCCACAAGAAACAGGAGAGCCTACCCAGGAAGCACCAGAAAACAAAGTATTGGAACATGGTAAAGAGGAAGACAAGAGTCCTAAGAAAGTCCTGGATGATGACAAATCGAGTTGGCGTTCAACTGAAGATGACAGGACCCCCAGGCGTGGCTTGGATGATGACAGGACCCCCAGGCGTGGCTTGGATGATGACAGGACCCCCAGGCGTGGCTTGGATGATGACAGGGGACCCAGGCGTGGCTTGGATGATGACAGGGGACCCAGGCGTGGTTTGGATGATGACAGGACCCCCAGGCGTGGTTTGGATGATGACAGGACCCCCAGGCGTGGCTTGGATGATGACAGGACCCCCAGGCGTGGCTTGGATGATGACAGACCAAGTTGGCGTGGCTTGGATGATGAGAGGACCCCCAGGCGTGGCTTGGATGATGAGAGGACCCCCAGGCGTGGCTTGGATGATGAGAGGACCCCCAGGCGTGGCTTTGATGATGACAGGGGACCCAGGCGTGGCTTGGATGATGACAGGGGACCCAGGCGTGGCTTGGATGATGACAGACCAAGTTGGCGTAACATGGATGATGACAGAGGACCCAGGCGTGGGCTGGATGACGATCGAGGGCCAAGGCGCGGGCTGGATGATGACCGAGGGCCCAGGCGTGGGCTGGATGATGACCGACCTAGTTGGCGCAACACAGATGAGGACCGAGGGCCCAGGCGCGGGCTGGATGATGATCGAGGGCCCAGGCGTGGACTGGATGGTGACCGAGGGCCCAGGCGCGGGCTGGATGATGATAGAATTTCAAGGAGTGATGAGGATAGAAGACCTTGGCGTAATGCAGATGATGATCGAGGACCTAGACGACTGGATGATGACAGAGGTCCCAGACGTGAAGATGATTCCAGGCCTGGACCTTGGAGACCATTTGGTAAACCAGGTAAACAAATTCATGCAAATTGTAACTTTTTATTATAAACTAGACAACCCATGACCTGTTGGGTCGTTATTTTAGAGATATTTCCTTACCGAAACAGAGAAACAGAATGGCCAAGGGCAAAAAAGCTGTGGGAACAGGAGCAGCTTCTGTTTTTCTGCTGGTTGGAGAGTTAGGGCAGGACTGGTCTACCTGTCTCCAGCAGCCAAAGGAGGGGCCGGTCTACTCAGCCTCTGGAGGATTAAGGCAAGACTGATCTACTGAACCTCTGGCCAATGGCATGACAATCCCAAAGCAATCACATATTTGCCAAATTTCAATTCTACCGGAATCGTGGATCTAGGATTTTGGATGCATTCTGTAAGTTAGCCCCTTTGAGATATCTTGATTCAGAAATTGTTGCTCTATGATGCGCTATTTTGTCCACTTAAAGGTTGTAGACATGAGAGTTTTAGTAGTATACAGATGCATGAAAAATATAAACATTTTGTTCTAAATGTTTTCTGGCAGATATGGATTAATGCATTGTGGTGGCTTATTCATTTCCAGAAATGTATTATCAATATAAAACTGAAAGATACAGATACTAAATATTGAAAAGTGAAGTACTTAAATATAAGTCATGTCCCATCTTTGTTTTAAAAAACCCTCACATTTTGATACCTATCTATAATTTGATTCCTTTGCTAATCAATAGAAAATTTACCATAATACACTATTTTTCAACTGATGGTATTCTTCTCATAGGAAGAACTAAGAAATAGTTTAGGTGTGGCACAGGGTAAGAGGTGAAATCTTTCCTTTGCCTTTGTGCCATTTTATTTTTTGACTAGTGAGCATGAATGATTAAATGAATGAATGATTAAATGGAGACATTCCAAGTTCTAATAAATAATCTGATTATTGAGCACAAATATGACATAGAATAGATAATCAGTGTTATTAAAAAAATCTTGCTATAGACATCTGCCCCATTAGGTGGCAGCACCTGGTTCTTGGCTGATTTTAAAAAGCTTAGTAGGATTGGACCAGATTGATATAAGGACAGAAAACCAGCAATAAACTTAAAATCTGTTTGCTACGCTAAGAATTGACAGGATCACAGTGGCAAATCTTTTCTGTATTGTTGTGAAGAAAAAAAAAAAACTTTCCAGTATAATTAGCAGGATTTGAGTTTGACTTAGAAGGCTCTGTTATAGATATCTAAAATCACAAAAAACTTCAGTGACCTCATCCTGGATTTCATGAGACTTGAATAAGCATACTAGCATGTCTAAATGTTTTAAGTATTTAATTTTTTCAAACTGATTTTGCTTTTCATAGTTAAAGAATTGCTGCTTTTTATGAAAAGGTCTTATTTGCATCTGTCATCATAATGTTCTGGGGAATTTGTGAATGATATTTTCTTTAATAGTTATGGTTTAGACCAGATGACAGCGTCTGGCAGCTACTTATTATAAATTCAAGTGGAAAATATTTTTATTTTTAAAAAAATTTGAAATGTTTCTTACTTGTTAAGCCTGAAACCCAGTAAATTTAGGTCACTTCCCCATTGCTTTCCTATATTAATTGCTTTACCACCAATTGGAAAAAAGCAATATAGAATACACTTCTGGAACGAAATTTTTCCAGTTTTTTTTTCATATTACAGAACTGTGAACTCCCAGACACTAATCTTACCAATCAGATTTTGCACAATTGTGGGATCTGGCAAAATATATTACAGGAATGACGGGAAAATAGGGAATTTGGCTAAAGAATGGTGAAATGGATGTTCCACATGCTATTGAAATTAGCCTTTAAAAGATCATGTTTTGCTGCTGTTAGGTGGATGGAGAGAACGAGAAAAGGCTCGAGAAGACAGCTGGGGACCTCCACGGGATTCCAGACCTTCAGAAGATCATGAATGGGATAGAGATAAAGACCGTAATGAAAATGAAAAGGAACGAGAATTTGACAAAGACCGTGACTTTGATCAGGAAGAACGTTTTAGGCGTCCTAGGTTAGACTTTATTACATTTTAATAGTATATGATGATTTATTTTTTTCTTTATGAACTGGAAGATAATTTTGATAGACTAGTGGAGTGTGTGGTATTCTGTGACAAGAAATACTTGGTTTAGGGAATATATGTTAAAATATGTCATCAGTATGCACTTGTTGATCATACTGATCATACCATAAAGATATGTCAGTTTTAAAAAATGTATTTTATTATGGCTTACGTTTTAAACAAAATAGAGCATGTAGAGAATGGTTTCTTAAATTCTTTCCACTCCTTTTATAACTGGCAGGATATATATACAGTATCTGTATATCCTAAGTAATAGAATAATATATTAATTTGCTATGTCTGTGTGTTTGCGCTTATTCTATTGTTGCTAATTAGGATGCATGCATATATTTTGCCTTTGTATTCTGTGATAATCTAATCAGGGTGATGTGTATGTGTTGCCACTGTATGTTTGTAAGTATGTGTACTTCTGCTTTTACGTCTGTTTATTGGTTATATGCATGTGATTAGGAAGCATGAAATAGGCTTCATATCCTTCACTTTGAATTGTGTGCCCAAGAGAGAGGGGTTAGAATAGAGTGGTCATCAACTTCCTAAGTGACATTCTGTACTGCCTCTTTGGATCGATTGGGGGAATTTTCTCCTCAAGTCTGTAGGCCTCATCTGACCAATTTCAAAGTCAATCTTTCTTTTGTTCCTTTTCCCACCAAACCACTTTGGTTCCATTCTTTTCTGTCTTTTGGGACCTGCTTTGCTGATTGACAGACAGAATGTAAAGAGAGAATCTGGAGTCCCTTTACATACTTTTTTCCCCATATTCCATTGGGTTGGAAATATTTCTTTTTTTAAAAAAAAGATACTACAGAAACAATTTGCACGCTCACAAAAATTTAGGAATGCTTCCATTTTATAGATAGTCCTTGCTTAACTAAGCAATGTGGTCATAAAGCACAATGTCATATGACCACATCACTTAGCAACAGCAATCCTTACAGTCTCCATTGCTGTCATTAAGTGAGGATCATAAGACCTTAAGCAAGGACCTCCTTGCAGCTTCATGCCAGGTTTGAACAAGCAAAGTCAATGGGGAAGCTGACAGGAAGTCGCAAGTCTGGGGGAGGCAAGCAAGCTGGTACTGGGTAAGTGCCTACTGTGGCTTGAAGGCAACCAGCAAGGAGTGGCTGCATGTGCTACAGCGTGTAGGCTCATCCGGATAAAAAGTGGTGGGAGTAGGAGTAGGAACTTACAGGAGACAGTTGTAATCTTTCCTGCCAGTTTCCCCATTGACTTTGCTCATGCGAAGGTGAGTGGTGATCACATGACAACAGAATGTTGCAACCATTGTAATTGTGGACTTGTTGCCCAGATCATGATCAGTCACTGCTGGGGTGCTGGGATGGCTGAAACTCCAAGGATTGCTCATAAGTACCACTTCTTCAGGGTTGTTGTAATTTTGGAAGATTGCTACATGAGTGGTCATTAACCATTAACATTAACCTGTATATTATTTTTTTTCCAAAGGCATTTTAAATATCCATTATCTTTTTAAAATAAAATCTTTTCTTTCCCAATGCCAATTGCAATTTATATGAAAATACTGATGATATAAGTCATTCTCTTGCAGATAACCTGTAGTTGAAGGTCCTTTCTTTAGGACTGATATAATTTTTATAATTAAAGGGATGACACTGGTTGGAGAAGAGGACCAGCTGAGGAAACCTCTAGCTGGAGAGATTCAGGTCGTCGTGATGAATGGGACAGAGGTGGTCGTGACTCTAGAGATGACCGTGTTGGTCGTGATCTTCGAGATCGCCGTGGGGAAGAGAGAGAAAGGAGAGGACCTCCACCCAGAACAGATCGGGAAGAAGGTAGACTACTTCTACCCAATTCTATTATTGTTATATAAATTCTACCAGAGAAATAGGGAATGCATTTCCATTACAAAAAATGCAGGTGGTGTATATTTATTTTTATATATTTAATAAATGTATATGGACAACCATTTCATATGCATTTCTCATATGCATCCATCTCTAGGAGGTTAACGGTTAAACACAAGTTTAAAAACAACAGAAATAACATAAAACAGCATAGCAGCTGATTTAACACTACCAACACCAAGAAATGGGTTCACCTGTACTAACAGAGCCCCAGGCTGGATTACAAAGCCAAAGTTTCCATGCCTTGCAAAAGTCCAGCAGGGTTAGGATAAGTCTAATCTCTGGGGTAATGATGTTCCAGAGAGCAGGTGTCATTACAGAAAAGACTTTCTTCCTAGGCCCTGCCAGGTGGCACTTTCTTATAGATGGGACCCAGAGCATGCTTCTCCTGCTGGATCTCACAGTACTCATAGATACCACTGGGGAGAGATGGTCCCAGAGGTAGCCCAGCCCCAAGCCATGAAGTGCTTTAAAGCAGAGGTCACCAACCTTTTTGGTTTGGCAGCCTGGAAAGGAAGGCAGGCACTGTTACACTTATGCACACACACAAATGGGCTGTGTGCACATACGCACACGAAAACAGGTCGAGCAGAAACACAAATGGGGCCGTGTGAGTGCTGTAAATGGGGTGGCGCTAGCACTGGCAGAATGCTCGGGTGGCACTGGTGCCTGCGGGGCACTTGGGGTGGTGCTATAGTGTCAGTAGGATGCTCAGGCGGGGCAGTTCTAGCGCTGGTGGTATGCTCGGAGCAGCGCTAGTGCTGGTGGGATGCTCAGGGTGGGGCGATGCTAGCGTCAGGGATGCTCGGGGCGGCGCTAGCGCAAGTAGCCATCCCTTCATGTGGCCAAGAGGCCATGGCTTGGTAGTGGGCCATGGCCCACAGGTTGGGGACCCCTGCTTTAAAGGTAACTACCAGCATCTTGAATTACATCTGGAAGCAAAGTGGTAACCAATGTAGGTTGTGGAGCAGACATACCACATGCGCTGAATGACTGGTACTGGTAACTATGCACACCACCACATTTTGCATCAGCTGAAGTTTCCAAACACTTTTTGAGAGCAGCCCCATTTGGACATACTGCAGTAATCCAAGTAGGGGATGACCATGGCATGAGGGACTGTGAACAGAACATACTGATGATGCCTCATCTTGAGCCAATAAATGACCTCACCAATGACTTCATGTAGATGTTAAAACAGGAAAGGGAACATCACTGAACTTTGTGGCACTCCACATAATACGGGCCTTGGGCTAAACATCTCCTTCCCTATCAATACCAATTGGAACTGATCCTGGAAGAAGGAGGAAAATCTGAATGCCCCCCAAAGCAGTAATACCAGTGGTATTATGATCAATGATACCAAAAACTCTGAGAGGTCAAGAAGAACAAGGATTGATGCATGATCCCCATCCCATCCTCATCAGAGATCACCCTAAAGTGCAATCAGACCTGTCTTGGTTCCATTCTTTGGCCTAAATCCTGACTAAAAGGAGTCCAGATGATTCTCTTCTTTCGACTTCTTTGGAGCTGCTGCATAATCACCACCACCTCTAGAAAGGAAAAATTGGAAACTGGATGAAAAATGTTGGATATAGTTTAGGTTTCTCAAGAAGGGAATGAATTATTACATTGAGCTATGGATTGAATCTGTAGCTCTGTTCTCGGCTGCAGAAGCCTTTCCAGAAGGCTTCTGACTGCAAAATGCAGGCCAGAGCTCCATTCTCAGCTGCAGAATAAAGTTGCTCATTCAGCTGCAGAAGAAGTGGGCCGGCTGGGTGGGGCTGTTGCTGTGAGGTGAGTGGAAAAGACACCCCCCCAAAAAAATAAGACCTGGTGCCTCTTTTGGAGGCCCCCCCCCAAAAAAAGAAAAAAAGATCAGGTCTTATTTTCGGGGAAACACGTATCAGAAATACTTAAATGTGAGTTCATGCACAGAATCTTTATGGTGAATTGAACCATGTGATCTAAATTATCATTCGGTACTCAACAATGCCATGATTATTTTCTTTCAAGTTTGTAATTCTATAAGTTTTTGTAATACTGTACATATAACCCTAATTTTGAATTCTGAAACGTTGGTAGTACAGTGTTTATAGTCTTAAATTGTAGAATGTATTAATTCAATGCAATTATTTCTTATTCCTTAATTTTTTTCTGTGGTTATGCTTCATTACCTTTTCATCCTGCAATAGAAACATTACCTTGTAAATTCCTCCAAGATATTTTTAATTCTAATCAGATTAAACTCATTCTTCTGGATTTTGATTCCTTACATAGCCCAGTGAATGAAGTACAGCTGAAATACTGCTTTTTATTTTTCAGTGAGCTCTTGGAGACGTGGTGATGATAGAAAAGAAGAACGTGAAGAATGTGAAACAATTCGAAGACCACCTACTGCTGCTCCTACTCCTGGTCCTGCTGTTTCCAAAGAACGAGAAAAAGATGGTGAGAAAGAGAAAGGTTGGAGAACAGATAAAGACCGAGAATCCCTTCGTCGCACTAAAAATGAAATTGATGAAGAGGGTTGGACCACTGTACGACGCTAAGTTCAAAACCTAAACAGGCTTTAATTGGTGTTTTGCATTGATTTGATAACAGATTATAATATTGGTGCTTTAAGAGTCTGGATTTGAATTCTTTAACAAAGTTTTCTAGAAATATGAAAGCATGAAACTCTTAACTTGTATGCAAACTGATCATGCACAGAACTTACAACTAATAGTTGGAAATTAAATACTGGTTATCTAAAATTTCAATTGTATGTCACAGATCACTTGGTGGTAAGAATAAAAAAATAAATTCTATAGGTATCTTTGAGTGGCATGTACATCTCAGTCAAAAATAAATCTGTTTTTTATGTTAAATAACCTTATACCTTAAAATGGATATGGCCTGCAAAGCATATGTTTAAAACAATATTTCTGGTTCCATAAACAAATGACTTTGTAACGCTGTACAGTCTAAAATTGGTATTTGATGGCAGAGGCTATTGCTGGTAGTATTACTAGATTCAGTATGTTTTAATTTGATTTATATAGAATAAATGTCATGGGTCTTTTAGCTAGGCTGGAAATTTTTCTTTTGTTTATTTTTGGTAGATTCTACTTGAATGCACAGTCTTATCAAGCCATTTGCAGTCTTTACTTTCACAATGAGTGCCACAGTAGTATTGAAAAAACAGGCTTTTAAAATTGAAAGTATTTGAGTAATCTTTTTGCTGAGCATTTTTGTTCCTTGCTGTGTATAGACACTGCTCTTTCTGGTATTGGTAATCTCTGCCTTTTGAAACATTTATATAGTGTCATTTCATATACATGATCTGTGGAGGAATCACTTAGTCCTCCTTTCCTTCTGAATTTCTTGTCTTCAGGGTAAGTGCTTTACCTTTAAACCAAGTGCTTTGTAGTAAGAGTGGGTTGACTTCAATTTGGGGCTGAAATAGCAATGTTAGTGATTGTTTTTAATTGAAGCCAACACAGAACTTGCTGCTATGTGTTAACTTCAATGATAAATAAACTTAAAAATCTAACCTGGTATTTTGTTGTGACTGTTTAATTGATGTTTCAGATTTTCATAATATTTCTTCTAACATATTTGAGGAAATAGCCTGATGTAGGAACTTACATATCTATTCTTTTTCCAGCAGTCTTTTACCCAGTGAATAAATATCTTTTTAAATAGTTGTCTGTTAGAAAGTGCAGATAAATTCAAATACAAACAAGAATTCAGTTAAAAATGAATGGAAATATATTTTGCATATTCTTAATTTCATTGGATATGGATTTCTTAGTTGTCCATAGTTTATCTCATCAAAGTATTATGTTTTGAGACAGGAATGCAACTTTGCATTGTTAAATATTTTATGTAGTTACGATAGGTATCAAGAAAGGGCTTTTTTTCTATTTCCAGTGTTCTCCTGCATTTGTGGGGGGAAAAAAGGGTGAAAGACTCAGTAATGAAAACTGTTCACTGAAAAATAAACATCAATCATTCAAAGTACATAATTAACAGCATTTGTCAGAAAAAAATCAAAGTATCTTAGATCTTGAACATAGATTGTAAACTAATAAAATAGGATACTTGCACAGCTTCTCCAGCATGATGAGTGGAGAATCCACCAATGGGTTTTGCTTGTCTTCTGCCCATATAGACTAAGTCAGCCAAATAGCCACGCCCCTCTCCCTGGGGCCATTCCCCAGTCTAGACTTAGTCTTTCGCCCGAGAGGACTCGCTTCTTGGCTCTAGAATCCAATTCATCAGATCCGGTCATATCAATTTAATTTCTTGACTTGGAGGTCCGGAGGGGTAGTAGGCAGCAGCAGTTCGCTCGCTGCCGCTTCTGCCGCATGGAGTGGCTCCAAAGGGCTTCCTGAAGCCACAGCTGATCGTCGGCCACTAACAAAGAGCCGATCGCCATTTTAATCTCCGTGTGGTCTTAGAACCGGAGGGGGAATCTTCCCCTCCCGGGTGATAGGATTTCAATTTAGCCATCGTTGAGCCTCTGGATTAATTCTCCTTCACTCCACAGCCATAGGGAGCAAATTTTAAAGCGTTAATTCATAGTCGCGTCTAGCGGCTGCCATTGTTGAAGCCGCGAATTTTAAAAAGGGAACCGGCTTGCCTGCTCTCTTTAAGAATCGCTCAGGGGGCATCACCTGTTTCCCCAGTTACAGCGCCGGTAAGGCGCAGCAGGCACAGCATATATTTTTAGCCCCAGGCCTCCCAATTAATCTGGAAAATAGCTTCTATTTAATCGGGGACAGGCACAAGCACCAGAAGGGAGAAGGGGAGTGTGTGGGCACCCCCCCACCTTTTCCTCGCTAGCAATTGGCAGGTCTTGCAAACAGAGCCTCATTCCCCCGTCGCTAGCAGACTAGCAGGTCTCACAGACTGAGTTACCGACAGGCTGGAATTTAAATAATAATAATAATAATAATGGAGGAGGATTTAAGCAATATCTGAGATTATCTGAACTGTCTGCCCATCAACTGAGTGCCGGTCGGATCACTAAATTGGTCTTGCCGCCACCAGCAACACGAAGGAGTGTTGGACATTAAGTGAGGCACAGAGGTGTGACTGTGATATTGAATGCATTCAACGCCTGGACTATTTTTCCAGTCACTACCAGATTGCTCAGTGACCTGAGCTGACCTCTCTTGGCTCCTTATCATGACATTACTCTCAGTCACCACACTGAGATATCTCCTGTGGCAATGGCAGACATCAACGTTGCTCAAGCAGCACAGGATTCCTCCATCAGTCCCCCTGGATGTAAGGTCAAGATCATCCAATCAGGAAGCAGCGGGAAGGATCAAGGCCAAGGTAATTTCTGGCAAAAAAGTCCTCCAAGGCTGCTGACAAAACGCCGCCACCAGGCTCTGGAAAAACAATTCTCTAGAGCCGAAAAGAGGCAAAACACAGCAGGAGGCAGTCTAGTTCCACCTGCTTACACAGAGGAGGAAATATTTGGCCCGCTGCAGCCTAGTCAGGAACCTCTGGAAACAGAGGCTGACGCAGACCAGGCAGAGAGATCCCCCCCCCTAAGCGAGGGGCCTGAGCCCTGGGGCACCCGACGCACACTCAGCAGCAGCAGGGCTTCGTCCCTCAGACAATCAGGGAACCCTATCATCAGAACATTTACAATCCCTGATATCTCAGGCCGTCGCTCAGGCCGTGGCCTCTTTGAGGCACCATAGGTCCAGAGCCGGGTCTGTGGCTTCACGATCCTATCTCTCCCAAGAGGAAGCTTCAGTATACAGGGATCAATTTCTGCATCTCGTTCCTCTAGAACAGTGGTTCTCAACCTTTCTAATGCCGTGACCCCATAATGCAGTTTCCCATGTTGTGGTGACCCCCAACCACTTATACATCACCGGATGCCAGGGGCGTGGCCAAAGAAAAGGGAAAAAAAATGGCGGACAGCCTTGTTTGGCGACCCCCGTGAAAAGGTCGTTCGACCCCAAATGGGGTCCCGACCCACAGGTTGAGAACCATTGCTCTAGAAGCAGGAAGTCCCCTGTGGAGGACTACGAGCAAACAGATCAGGGGCTGTCGGAGGACGATGATATATCTCCAGATCCTCCACCATTCGTAGGCCTCTTCAACCCGACTCTATTCAAATCCCTGCTCCATAAGGCCAGCAGCACCGCAAAGGTTAAGAGGCCAAGGCTCCCCCAAGAGGGACCCTCAACATGTCAGGACACAAACAGCAGGGTGTTTTCGCAGCCCACCTACACCCAACAATATATCCCCTGCCCCCCTCTCTTCTTTGATACAATTCAGAATAATTTGGGGGCACTGGGGTCTTTCCCTCCAATGGGGGGGGGGCTGACAGACAAGAAGCTGTTCAACATAGATCCAGCCTTATCAGAGGTAATAGAGGTCCCAGCAGTAGATGAGCCTCTAGCAGCTCTTTTTTCATCATCCACGATATCCGGGGATGCGGCGGAGGCCCTGAAGTCAGAGGACAAGAAGGCGGAACTCACCTTCTGCAGGACACACCAGTCTCCCAGATCTAACCATGTCCCCAAATTTGACTGCACTCTGTCAGTGCTTCGAACAAAACCAAGTATGAAGATAGATCAATTTTTTTGTCAAATTCTTTCTGCCTGTACTTTGCCTTAAGACAATTTAATTTATTTCATTTGTACAGCTCAGGGCTACAGATTCCCAATAATTTCTTTTACTAATGCTATAACAATTTTAAGGGGATAATGCCTATTAAACTTATATAGAATTTATTTTAAGAAGACTTGTAGAATCTGACAGTACGTTCCTAAACAATTTTTCATTTCCCATGTTCTAAATATTTACAAACTTTCTTAAAAGTGCTCCACATCTTTCAATATTTTATTATTGAAGGGCAAATATTCATAGCAAGCCTGTAACAGGAATACTATTGAGGAGCCTACAGGTGCCTTCATTGAAAATTTATTCTAAAAAGACTTAAAAAATTATATGTGAGGAGGCAAATAAGGCAGCAAAGATTTGAAACGTATTTAAAACAAAGGTTACATGGTCCATTTTCATTTTCCAAGGAAATACCCAAAGCCTTCTCCATCCTCGAAGTTTGATTGTATGCCATCTATAGGCCTCCATGAAAACAAAAACAGTGGAAAACAAACAGAATAATCCTTGTCTGTAAATAATGCAGCTGAACTCAAAGATGCTCATTCACTTAAAAGATCCCCAGTTTTATAAACATGCAACTGTATTCACACAACTTGCCAAGTCATTATTAAATGAGCCAGATTGGCTGGATTTACACGTGCTAACTCACAAATTATATTTAACCTTAGATTTTTCTGAGAGCCTATCCTCAATTTGCTTTATTTTAAAGAAGCATTATTTCAATAAACTTCCCAATTGGGTGCTTTCATGTATGGCTTATAATTCTCAGAATTCTCAACCATCCACACATGTAGAGGGCACCAAAGTGTAATTTTTTTAGTTGTTAATTTCCTGTTTTAAAGTAACTGAAGATAATGAGAATTGTAGGATATGTAGTTGGGGAAAGCTTGCCAAATTGTTCTAGAAGTTGCTACATAGGATAACAGAGCGTTTGTCTTCAGGACTGCTTTATCCTGTATGAGTGAACTCCCTACTCTGAAATGGTTAGCACGAGATTTCCAGAGGAAGAATGGTAGATTGAAAATGGCTCCGTGAAAAGCAGAGCCAACAACTGTGACTAAGAATGAAGAACTGGCAAGTAGACTGGCTCTTCTAACCTCTCCAAATAAAGGAGAGATCTAGAGCAGGGGTCTCCAACTCCCAGTCGGGCCGCGGCATCGGGCCGCGGCATGCCAGAAACCGGTCCGTGTAAACAAGCAAACCCCATCTGTGGTACGCAGACAGTACATGAAACCACGCCATCTCCGGTCCGCAGAAAAACCTCTCTCCACGGGACTGGTCCCTGGTGCCCAAAAGGTTGGGGACCTCTGGTCTAGAGATCATCCAAAAGTGCCCTAGACAATTGCTCCTTCATGAGGAGACCACAAGACATTGGTCTCTGGTGGGATTTGAGAACTGGGAGACAAGGAAATAGCCATCTTGCTCAAATTGTAGTCAGTACTTTTAAAAGGATACTAAATTTACATACTTTCATAATCACATTTGGAAATTGCTTATTAACTACTTTTCACCAATTGGAAACCTTTGAAAGTGAAAACTCTGAAAAAGAGTGATTATAACTACGAGCTTATAAATTTATTTATTTATTTAAAAAAAATCAATGTCCAGATTAACTTTAAATAAGATTTTGGAATTATAAAGAATCCTTCCTATGGGGAAATGCTTTTGTTTTGAATTGAATTTTTTTAAAAAATAAGATTTTAAAAATTGGACTCTAGACTGGCAGTGTTTCCAAAACTTGACAATTTTAAGGCATGGGGACTTCAACTCAGCAATGCTGGCTGTGGAATTCTGGGAGTTGAAGTCCCCATGCCTTAAAATTGTCAAGTTTGGGAAACACTGCTCTAGAGGAACGAAAGATTTCAATTAAAGGAGAAAAACACAAATGACAATATGATGCCAGATCGTCTTAACACTGGAAATATTGAATATTTTCAAAAAAATTGAATTAGAAATTGATATTAATAACATCTGCCTCTGTGGATAGTCTGTCAAAAAGATGTTATGAAAGTTTTACCTGACAAGACCGAAACAGTTGAAATGACAGACTAATAATGATATGGAAAAACATGCTTCAATTAATATACAAAAGAAACTTGCTGTTGTTTTAATAATTAAAGAGACATACAAACAATAAACCAAGAGAGTGACCTGGATAATTTTTCTATTTTGGATTGATAAAACAGATTTGTTGAAGTTTTGAAGAGTTTCATGAGAAGGGGCAAAGAGGAAATAAAATCAAGTTCTACGATATTGTTTGAATGGATGAAAGATTGACTGTAAAATGAATATAAACTTGGTTAATTTGATCAAGGTTAAATAGTAATTATACATAACAGATGTGATATGGAGATTATTTCTTGCCATTTAAGAGAATGTAAAAAGTTACTAAAATTGCTTATACTTGTGATGCAGGTTGGGAGTCACTTCTTTATGTATCTTTTTTTTTCTTTATTCTTTGCATTTTTTCTATTTTTTCCCCTTTGTACCTTTTATTCCTTTCTATTTTTCTTTTTTTTAATTTTTACTGTTATCTTTAACAAAATTACTTGAAAAAAATGAAATGGTTAGCACAGAAAACAGATGTGCCTTTGGTGCTCTTTAGTCACATTCTCTGTAGTTTGGAACGCATAGGGATTTCAGATAGCACTTTTTACACACTTGCTAAAAATATTTTTGGAGTGTAGCAATCACCTACTAGGTTCTCTGTGTGTGATTATATAGGTGTAAAGCAGTGTTTCTCAACCTTGACAATTTTAAGGCATGTGGACTTCCAACTCCCAGAATTCCACAGCCAGCATTGCTGGCTGTGGAATTCTGGGAGTTGAAGTCCACATGCCTTAAAATTGTCAAGGTTGAGAAACACTGGTGTAAAGAAAGCAATATATAATTTGTTTGAATAAATAACAAGTGCTGTTAGTTTTACAATGCTAGTTTCAATCTTACTAACAGCATGTATCTTGTTAAAAATGGCAGCTACTCATATTGTATGTGAAAAATATAATTGGCAGACATTAACTCTATACTTGCTGTGGGGAAAAAATCTTAGATCATGTTGAAACTAACACTGGCTTTCATGCTGGAAACCAATATCAAACAGTACTTACCGGTGGTATACTGAGTGGGAAAACAAAAATATAAAGTTTGGAGCAATAAATCATAACCAGCTTGTGGATTTATATCCATTTCTTAAGCTGAACATACATATTTCCTTTTTGCTATTTAGTTTTAAAGACACTGCATAGGAAGAGAAAACTCATTTGCCTTTGTTTTTGAATTATACAGAGATGTTTTTTTCCGTTCCCTTGTTTTTATGGTATACTTCGATTTTTGCATCAACTTAATTTGAAGTAAGCTGCCATTCTGATACTACTCTGCTTACATTGTAGGATGAAAACTGTATGTGGCATGCAGTCCATAAAAGTTTATTACCTTTTAATAAAAATTGTTAGAAAAGGCACTACCATCATCTGGCATTAAAAGGCATAACTTATTGGACTGATTTACAACTTCAAATTTACAAAACAAATCCACTTTACAGCCTCCATGCCAGCTACACAAATAGTAGTCTAATACATATTTTGGGAGGTGGGTGGGAATGATGGCACAGCAGGACAGGCAAAATCAGTCTTGGTTGGGGAAGCAAAAAAAATATATTGAGGTGATAGAGAAAATTCAGGGGAAAAAAACAGGTTTTTCTAAAGTGTCACAAAGATCAACCAGGTGGTCTCAACTGGACCAGCTGGAGGTAACTAGAATTTGGAGAAAGGAGGCAATGGTGAAATCTCAAAACAGGCAGGTGCTTGAAATGGAACTTAATAGCTGTGAGGAAAAAAAAGGTTAAGAGGTGAATTTGAAACTATAAGACTTCCATGCATAAAGTGCAGCCCCCCCCTTTTTTAGTAATCAAAATATTGCTTGAAGACAATGAAGACAGCAAAGGAAGCAAATGCCAATTCAACACATTTAATCTTTCCAACCTTGCTTTATAACCATTGCAGGACCAGCCAAACATCTCCTTAAAAATTATTTGATTCATACATATTACTTGTATTAGGCTGCCTCGTTTAAAGACAGTATTTTCTTTATTCAAAAGTGCTCCCTTTCCAGCCAAGAATATTAAACAAAGCTACAGCAAATGGAGCATATGCCTAAGAGATATCTTTAGTCCCATTTAAAAATCTGGTAAGTTTCACAATAAACAAATACAGTATCTCTAAACGGTATGTTATCATTCTTAAGAGTTAATTCAGAGGCCAGGCTCCCTGGCTACTACATATACAAACTAGAAACTATACTCAATTATTTGATACATAAATCAAGAACATCTCTCTGTACATTCTACGTCTTCATATTTAAATATATTAAGAAACATTTGATTACAGTGTTTAAAAAAAAAAAACCAAAAAGGAAATGCCTTTTTTTTAATATCCCTGTAGAGGGCACACGCGCGCAAGAGAACAGAAAAAAGAATGAATCGCAGTGGGTTTTGTTTTCCTTGATCCAATCAATGTCTTTTGATCCGCAGTCCTGTCTCCACAAACACTGACGCGGCCAAGGGTCGAGAAGCGCCCCCTAGCGGAGCTTCTTGCCCAGGATGTGCCGGGCGTTTTTAAGCGGTTGTTTGGGGGCGCTACCGTGCATTTTAGACAAGGGGCAATACTTGATCGTGTGCGCATTGTCCCCACTGGCTCCACAGAGAGGGCACGTATATCGCCTCAGCACCGGGCATAAGACTCTGCCGTCGGGTCCCTTAAGGATGTGCGTGGTGTAGAGGGCCACGGCTTCCTTATTATTCCGGCAGAAAACACAAACTTGCAATTCCGGCTTCAGCAGCCTGGAGGCGCTTTTCGGGGCAGCTTGTAGCCGGCCATCTACCAGCAGGCGGCCGCCCCAAGCGTGAGGCGAGCGATCTCTTTCCAGATGGTCAGGGGAGCAATTGAAGACCACCGACGCCGGGCTGGATCTGCCCGAGAAGGGGCTAAAATCGGCGAAACGCTCCTCCAGCAGGCTTTCGGTAGGGTTAAGGTGGTGATGGCCGCACAAGTCAAAATCGTGCAAATCCAGGGAGTTTTCGAAATAAGGGGCTCCCACTTCGTCGTCGTCGTCATCTTCTTCCTCCTCGTCCTCCTCTTCTTCCTCGCCTTCCTCGGTCGCCGGGACCTGCTGCACGGTCGCCGCCACAACCACGGAAGAGGATCCGGTCCGAAAGCCCTTTTCCTGGCTCACTGCCTTGGTGATCAGAGTGGCCAAGCCCAGGTAATCATTCCAAGAGTTAAACGCGTTCCCGTAGGCGCTGTGGCTCTTAGTCGCGTACCTGCCGCCTCCTGGCAAAAACTCCACCGGCTGATGGTGATGGTGATGGTGCTTCTCCAGCTTGCTCGGGTGGAAAGCCTCCATCAGAAAGCGACCCCAAACCGCTTGCGCGTCCCAAAAACAAAAAAGCCCGCTCGCTTTTCGCAGGCGAACGCGGCACAAGCCCCGCGAAGATCAGCGAGCGAGCGAGCGAGCGAGCCAGCCGCTCACCAAAACAACAGCTGAAAACTCCTCCTTCTCTTCTGCGAAGCTTTTAGCGCTTGCAGCTGCTGAAATAGAGGGGAGGGGAGCTGGCGGGACAGAGGAGGCGCAATCCTGATGCTGCGCTCTAATTGGCCAGCGGCCAAAGCTGTCCCACTTTCGCTGCCTATTATTGGCTGATGTGCTTTAGTGCCCCTTTCATCTCTTCCAACGGGGCGTAGATGTTAGTCTGCCTTCTGCTCGCTACTTTTAACTCGGAGCAGGTAGGTGACTCGCAGAGGTTGGACGCCGACCAATGGAGGCTCTCTTTCTTTTCCCGTAGTAAATGTTGGAATTAACCCTGGAGTCCGTTTTCGCGGTGAAAGCTCATTCAGTAATTTTCAGAACTAAGTCTTTTTTTTTTTTTTTTTCTGCGCGGGCAGACTCCAGGTGTAGCGAATTAAAACAACCCAACGTGATAAACCAAGTTGGCTTCAGTTGCGGGAGCTTCCGAAGTCTGCCCTAACGTTTCCAAAAGGAAGGGGAGAAAATATTGCCATGTTGGGCATGCATACAAAGATGCACAAGACCGAGATCTTTATGCAACGCAGAACCCCCGTTTCCTTGTGTATCTGGCAAACGGGCAGAAATGGAATCGCTCTGTGTTGTAAAGAAGACTTGCATGGTTTGAAGGAGCTCGTGACTTTGCACTTGGAAATACTGTTTACAGAACTTTATTTCTTATTATCGCACTGCCATCTTACCATATGCCAAGCCACAAGAACAGTGTTACACTTTCATTGACTTTGTCTTGCCTTCTAATCGGTCTCGTTCCTTTCCTTACACAACTATATATGTATTAGAGTTGTGAAAACCAGAAAGGTGCTGGCCATCTGGTCTGGAGAACCGGGTGAACTCAGAATTGATTGAACTGCCTCCATGTATCTTTTCTTCTCTGGCAGCACCTCACTGTCTTTGAAGGTACAAGCCAGATGGCCACATCAAAGTGTTTTCCTCCAGTTTGTGAACTGGCAGGACAACATGGCAGTATGATTACGGATGCCTTGCCCATAATGCACTTATTGATGAACAAATGGGCAACCTACCGCTGGCAGAACTGGGTTTTCTTCCTGATTCAAGCGAGTTCTGTGCAGGATTCGTTGTCTGGTGATTTCTCAAAAGCATGTTAAATGTTTTGGAAAGCCAGCTGTGAATTCTTCCAAAATAGTCCTAAATGCCAGGTATAAAAGGGCTTGCATGAGACTTGAGAAACATGATAAAATATCCCACTCAGGCATAATACAGGGAAGATATTTCTGTGGAAGCCACTGAGGTTTGGTCTACCTGTCACACAGAGTAGTTCCATAGGTAGTAAACTACAGAAGCCTAAAATGACTAATATAATCAGGCAGATCCCATCAGCCACACCAGTAAAATGTGCTATCGCAACCATGACAAACCTTGCATCGGGAGCAGAGAGAAAACACTATTGTAGACAGCTGAAGATACTGAGCTGACTCAGCTGTGGCCTGAGCTGAGAAGAAGACATGAGAACACATGACAATAATTATGGGTGTTTGTGCTGTGCTTAGGGGGTGTGGTTAACCCACAACTAGGTTCACTTATTATACTAAGCCAGGACTTCAAACTGCTGATCAGGCTCCACCCAAACAGATGACTGGTCAGCATGTTAGTCAGGCTTGTCATTTTCAGTATTTTAAATCTCAGGGACTATTGTGTTCATGCATAAATTCATTGGAGTATGAAAATGACTGTCCCAAGACATTTGTCTTTTGTTTGGTTTTCCCTTTGTATGGTGTGCAGATTCAGGGATTGTGGTTTATAAGCCATGATTTATTGCAAGGGTAACTGACAATTTTTGGTCTCCAGAGACCTGGCTTGTAATGTGTCGCTAGGGGACATTGCCTTTTGATACTAGGGTAAAAGGGAGATGCATTGTTAAGAATCTGTTTTACCTCATTTTTTTTTATTTAAATGCTAGTGGTTCAGTTGTGGTTGTAAGTCAAGGACTAGCCGTATTGCACTATTTTTAAATTTCTTTAATCACAATATTCTAATTATAGCCTGGTGGGGTTATATATCTAGGTTCAAGTACAGGTAATCCTTGACTTCATGACCACAATTGATCCCAAAATTTATGCTGCTAAATGAAATATTTCTTAAGTGAATTTTGCCCCATTTTACGACTTTTCTTGCCACAGTTGTTAAGTGAATCATTGCAGTTGTTGGACTATTGACATGGTTGTTAATGGAATCTTGCTACCCCATTGAGTTTGCTTGTCAGAAGGTGATCATGTGACCCTGGGACGCTGCAACCATCATAAATGTGAGTCAGTTGCCAAGCTTCTGAATTTTGATCGCATGACCATGGAGATGCTGCAGTGGTTGTTAAGTGCGAAAAACTGTCATAAGTTACTTTTTTCAGTGTCGTCGTAACTTTGAAGTTGGTCATGCTGATTGGATATTCCAGAGAACGCCCAAGAAAGAGTTGTTATCATCTTCTCTATAGTAGAAATGTAGACAGAAGAGAAACTTATATATATAATGTGAGTTTTCCCTACTGTAGTACTGTTGTACTACAGATCGTATTCTTGTACTATCTGTATCACACTAAGCCAAAATAAGCGACATTATGATTCTGTTTACAGAACACATTGAGGCAGAAAATTGCCAACCTCATTTCATCTACAATGTTGGATGAATCTATATTAGTTCAATGTGCTCTGCAAACTCAGAAAGCTGAAGTAAATTAAATTTAAAGCTACTAAAGGTATGTTGCAGAAAACTATATGAGCCCTAGATGGCATCTAAAAGAGATGGAAAATCACTCTTGGTTGACACAGTGGTTGTTTTTTTCAGCTCATTTTACAGATTTTTACAGCCCATTGTTTTTTCTTTCTTTCTTTGTATAAAAGAAAAAGAAAAAATAAATGAAAAAGGAAAAATCCATGCCTAAAAAGAAAAATAGGAAAGGGAAAGTAGAACGAGGTATGCAACTTATAACAAAACTCACCATTTTTAAACACTGCATTGAACAATAGAGATGACACAGTCTACAGTTCCATTTGGCCAATAGACCACTAGTTCAGAAGTTGAAACTGAACACATCAGTCCAAGAGTATAGATTTCATTTAGTACAGTCACAATAGAATAACCTTTTGCTTTGCGCAGTGCTTGATAAAGCCACAGTTCTTTATATATTTATCAATGCCCAATTTGGGGTACATACAGCATAACTGCATTTTAAACTTGATTATTTTGTTCCAAACTATATTAATAAATATAGTTTGTTGATAATCTTTCTTGGGCATTCTGTGGAACATCCAGTCAGCATGAAAAACTTTTGCGGAATTAGCCTCAACTTAGGTTCATAAGAAAGGTACTAAATATGTGGTAACCCTACCAAATGTCATGTAATGAACGAATCCAAATCAGTGTGTCCTTTCTAGTATAAAGTATGTGCTTTAAAGGAATTGCTTACAAGTTGTCTACACTCAGATGGGGGCAGGGAAATCACTGAACAGAGAGCCCTTGAAGTTTGAAATATTGGAAGTGTGGTCACTGTAATGGCTGGGAAATACCTGCAAAAATTAAAGGTAATCACTATAGTTGACTTTTTAACCTTATTGGCATGTTATTTTAAAACCTCTAATAGCTGATTAGTGTCAAAAATCCAAATGTAAAATTACAAGTTTAAATATAAATAAAATCTCACCATTGTTGAAGAAGCGTTTTTTTTAAAAAAATATCAAACTACTTTATACATCCCAAACAAGGCAAAGGGTTTATTTTAATGTGGGATTTAGCTGAATTCATCCAGGGGGTTCTTATTAGCAAAGGTATATAGCAATAGCATTTAGTCTTATATACCACCCCATAGTGTTTTACAGCAAGGGTGCCCAAGCCCCGGTCCATGGAGGGGCACTGGTTTGCGGCATACCAGAAACTGCCACACACAAACAAGTGAAACCCCATCCACAAGATGCAGGCAACGCATGAAACCACACCCTTCCAATCCGCGGACAAACCTCTCTCCATGGAACCAGTCCCTGGTGCCCAAAAGATTGAGGGCCGCTACTTTAAAATGTCAGCATATTGTCCCCAACAATCAGGATCCTCATTTTACCAACCTCGGAAGGATGAAAAGTTGAGTCAACCTTGAACCCCCTCAGCATCGAACTCCAGGCTGTTTGCAGAGTTTGCCTGCAATACTTCATTTTAACCACTCTGCCACCAGGGCTTCTACATGGTGGTTACAGGAGTGAGGAGACAAGCACAAGTCCAGATCCACAAATCTTCATAGTGTAATATTGGACAGTTCCCACTTGTTTCACAGCTCAGCAAAAAACTTCCCGTCCTGTAATCAAAGAACATCTATTTTGAAACCATTGGTGGGAGCAGGAATAACAATGCTCCAGAAAGGACAGGGGAATACAGATATTTGGAATATCCCATCAGGAGGACTTTCCCATCCAGTAGCTACTATTAGTAAGAGCTTTGCTAGGCTGTGGCTCTCAGTAGATAATATGAAGGCGAGGAAAAATGCCATATGCTGTTCGTTTAAGCCGTGCTATAAGTCAAGGTGTTTTTTTCCTTCCATTAATCCCATCCCTTTGCCTATCCATCCATGAAAGTCATACTTGCTTTTTTTCCTATGAAGGCAGTGAGGAAAGTATTTGCATCTTTATTTGCAGATCAGGCTAAGATTAATTCTAGCCCTGGGACAGCCAGTCTTGTAATATTTTTTTCAGAGTCACTCCCAGCATGGCACTCAAAGGACAACTTTAGCTGTCAACCCAGAAATAGTTGCCTGATAAACAAGTTGTTTCAGCCAGCTATACAGTAAATCTGGTTCAAAGTGTATATTCCTAATATCTTAGAGGCATGTTCTACAATTTCTTTCAATGTCCTCTGCACTAAGGCATCATTCAGATCTGTATGCATTGTGATCAGATTTTTCAAGATATGCTTTCTGTATTTTTATGAATTCTTTTAGAATTCCTCATTTGTCATGGCCATATACAACGTTGAAAAAGTAACAATAGGACTGAAAAAAATAATCT